ACCGCATTTGCAGAGAGGAGTCTTGCAAGCATATCCACTACCAAGTCCATTGCACGATAGTCGGCGAGATCTCTTTCGTTAAGCGCCAGAAGCTCGACAAAGTCGATGCGGCACTGAGGGACCTGCGAAAAGGCACTAAAGAAGGACCAAGCTCAACCAGCTGCATGAACGGACAAGAGAAACATCCCATCCACCACAAACTGGCGCGTTCGTGCGTTGTTCAGTCAGTGGATGCTTCTCGTTACGGATCTTGCTTTTTTTAAGAAGTTCGCGCCCAGAGAGACCCTTATTCGTTGATTTTCTCCGCGCAAAAGAACCGCGATCTTTTTCAAGCAGCAGCGGTTTCAGGAAGCACCCTAGACGGCCTGACGGCCAAGCTTTATTCACTAACTTGCCGCTTTAGGGTACATCGGTTACTTGTCCAAACGTGACAAAAAAACACAGAAGCTGTTCGACATATTCACGTGTCTGTAGTAGTGCGAGCAACACATCACCGCTACCGATTTCCCTTTTTTCTTCCATACGATCGCGATCGAACGTTTTGTCTGCCGGACGTGTTGTTTCTTAAAGACGCAAATCGAGCACTAGCCCAATTCCGAGTAAGGGGCACCCACTGCGTGGGCACCCCGGGCCGCGAATTGGGCGAGGGTCGAAAAAAAAGCGTGCGAAGCGGTGGTACAATTATGCGTCACAGAGACGTGCACAGCACGAGTGTTGACGAGAAGCACACCCACGCATGCAACAATAGCGAGAGTGTCAAAAACATGCAGATCTCGAAGACAGACGTGGCGATAACACGCAGGTACTGAGAGGGCTGCAGTAGGAACACAAGACACGCCCTTGTTGAAGACGTGCTTCGCCAAGTATATCAATGCATCGCTGGATGCAATTGGATGTGAACCTATCGATATCCAGCGATGATATCAATAGACATGTATCAATCTAGCGCGCCTGTTGAAGGGGCTATTGAAGACTGCCTTCGATGACTATCAATCGGCTTGTCAATCAAATGGGAGCCGCCAGGATCAGCCCAACGATGACCTGCACCAGCAACGCAACACGGTAAATGAAATCGGCCACAGCCGCGCCACGTCAGATGAAGCAAGCCTCCTGAGTAGCTTCTCTTCGAGTGGAATGTCTTCACACACGGTGGTCACTCGATGGATGCCGCCGATCTCACTCGACTGCTGGCGCAGCCGGCGTCCGCATTCAAGCCGCCTGAGACGGTCGACGACACGACCTTCTCCGTTGAGTGGGCGAACCGTTACCGATTGAACGAAGAGCAGATGCGGGCGTTCCAAATCATCTGCAGCCACTTGCTGAACCACTACAAAGACCTGAGGGACAATAAATACATCGCGGCAGTGCGCATGTGCCTGACCGTCATGAAAGCCGTGGAGGCCTGTTCTGCTGAACTACAATGCAGACATTGGCTGTGTCTGGCGGCACTTGCCGGTGTGGCTGCAGATAACACCGAAGGCTCGACAATCGATTCGCTCCTGCGCCTCTTCGATGACCTCGAGAGGGGCGAGAAGAGGCTGCGGCGCAAGCGGGGAAGCATCATTTGCAGAGAGGAGTCTTGCAAGCGTATCCAGTACCAAGTCCACTGCACGATAGTCGGCGAGATCTCTTTCGTTAACCGCCAGAAGCTCGACAAAGTCGACCCGCCACTGAGGGACCTGCGAAAAGGCACCCAAGAAAGACCAAGCTCAACCAGAGAAGGGAGAAACATCCCATTCACCACAAACTGGCGCGTTTCGTGTGTTCAGTCAGTTGATGCTTACTTCCGTTATGGATCTTGCTTTTTTAAGAGGTTCGGGCCCAGAGAGACCCTTGTTCGTTGACTTTCTCCGCGAAGCAAGCGCGATCTTTTTCAAGCAGCAACTTTTCCAATAACTTGCCGCTTTAGGGCATATCCGTTTGGCGGTCACTGATCCAAACGTGACAAAGAACACAGAAGCTGTTCGACATATTGCCGTGTCTGTAGTACTGCAAGCAACACATCACCGCTACCGTTTTTTCCCTGTTTTCTTCCATACGATCGTGATCGAACGTTTTGTCTGACCGAACGTGTTGTTTCTTAAAGACGCAAATCAGGCACTAGCCCAATTCGCGGATTGCCAGCTTGGCAAGACGAACCACTGCGAGCTTGTGAGCTAGGGTATATTGCTGTGTAACGGGTGGAGAGAGGAGAAGACAAGGAAAGACAAGGAAAGACAAGGAAAGCATTCTGAGGAGACACGATCTTATCAGCCATCACCGAAGTGAGATCTGTGTTGACCACCCTTCATGATGCCATACATGGACAGAAACAACTTTGACTGACTGGCCAGTCCATCGGTCTTACCAAGTAAAAGCACTCTTACTCTGGGACTTACCGCCCAGCAGATCCTCTATTCAGCTAACTACAGGAAAGGTCCTCACCGGCCTTTTTTTCGCACAGCTGTCAATAGTTTGGATGCGAACATGTAATCGACCGTCCCAGCGCATGGACACACGGACAATCTTACCCTTAACTACCACGGAGCTGGAAGGGAGCTCAGGGCCATCGTCGCCATCTCCAACCGCACCGCTCTTCAGCCTTGTTCGCTTGTCTGCCGTCCCTCATCCTCTTTGGCGGCAGGCGTTGCCGGTATGGACCACCCGTCCTCTGCGCCACAAGATTCCTCGTCAGCGGAGCTGACGTTCGTCAAGGGCGGCGATGGCTCAGCCGGCTGCACCACTGCGGTCGACCTGAAGAGGTCGCTGAAGGAGGCGATGCAGGAGAACGAAACGCTCAAGCAGTGGCTGAGAGGGCTGGGCATGAGGATGAGCTCCATGGTCGTCAAGAAGGGAGAGGCCGTCCTCGACATACACTCGCCGCTTGACGGGGCTGTCCAAGCACACGACACTATCACAGGTACGTTGACGCGCACGGCTGCACAGACAGACAAGAGGGCGCCAGGCCAACCAGATGCGCCACTCATTGTCTGGCGTTCTCTGTGTGTGTTTGTGTTGCCCTCGCTCTCCATGCAGTTGACCACGTGTGTGCGGAGTGGGCGGCATCCCCGGCCAAGGGCGAGTGGGCACCGCCGAAGGAGGACCTCATCGCCATTGCAAGACGACACAACTAAGTGTCGTCCGTAGGCGCTGGTAGTTGGCAGCGACAGGGATGGATGTGTTGAGGTGATGTGCACTGTATCTATCTAGTAGTCTGCTGGATGACAGACAGACACGGGAGGCTCTCCGGTCTGCGTGCCTTCGCTTGTTAGATAAGGTCCCGCAACTCGTACTTCATGGGTTGACGATTGGCGCATGAGGTGAGAGGAGCGGGAAGGCGTCAAACAAGCTGAAGTGGCCAGACCAGGAGCCAGCCGATAGTGTGTCACCATTTGTGGCAGTCCGCCTCTTGTGACAGCCTGCCTTCATTTGGACCTCCATGTACGTACGTGTTTGTCTTTAGTGTGTGCCGGGACGTGTGCCGGGGCCCAGTTCATGAGATGGGCCGGGTGGTGTTCATATCACGCGGCTGCTTGCCGCATGTGCATGATGCCTTTGCGTACTGCGTGACCGATTCCCCCCACTGCGACCCTCAAACCCTGACCCTATACCCTACCACCCTGATCAATTCTCTCCCCTCCCTCCCTAGCTTTGTGCGCCTTTCTCTCCTTTCGCCGTCGCCTTACTGATGACGACGCTTCTGCCGAATCGTCTCCCCGCGCCTCTTGTGGCGCTCGTCGCCGCCAGGGCAACCAGCACGACGGCTGCAGCACCAAGTGCAGCACTACAGACGAGGACGCTCACGGGAGGGGTGCGCTCACCATGTAGGGCGCCGCCTGCAGCCCCAGCCCCAACACAGCCGCCTTTCTCATCGGCAATGGTTTTTTCCGAGAGAGGCCGGCGGTGTGTGGACTACAGCGGGCAGTGCAGGGCACTGTCGACGTCGTCGTGCCCTCCGTCGTCGTCGGCGTCAAACCGAGTCATGTCTGACCAGAAGCAAGAAATTTTACCGCCTGTGCCGGCAAAAGACCTCAGGACGCAGGTAAAGAAGTGGATGGGCGGACAGACAGACCTGGATACGACACGTGCCGTGCCACTGTGGCTGTTTATTGTCTGTCTGTTTGCTCGTTCAGTTTGTGTGTGCGGCCGTGCCTCTCATCGGCTTCGGTAAGCTGGTGATTCTACACTCACACAAACACCCACACCGGTGCAAGTCCGTCCACAACGAATGGTGGGTGATGTGTGTATGTGATGGATGTGCAGGTTTCATGGACAACACGATCATGTTGCGGGCGGGGGAGCTCATCGATTCGACGCTGGGCGTCACATTTGGACTGGCCACCCTCACTGCTGCTGCTGTCGGTACGTACGCACAGCAATCAACGCAGACAATCACGAGCTGAGCTTCTCTCTCTGCAGGCCAGCTGTGCAGCGACACGTCAGGCATAGTGTTTGGCGGGTGGATTGAGGCGATGGCGCAGAGGCTGGGGCTCCCCACACCCAATGTCACACCTGCACAGAGGCAACAAATACCATTCAAGTAGGAACCAGGGCGGTAGGCACAAGACAGAGAGAGAGAGAGAGAGAGAAAGGCGATCTCTCTCGATCGCACAAACAAGTGGTGTGCACGTCACGTGTAGGGTTGTGACGACGGCCGGTGCTGCGGTGGGTGTGTGTTTTGGGTGTCTCTTGGGGATGGCCAACCTGCTCTTCATGAACGTCGACAAGGCCGAGCGGCAAAAGAAACAGAAGGAGGTACCCAATAGATAGATCGGGAGGGACGAGGGGGAGAGGATAGACAGGATGAGTGAGGATGAGATGAGACCTTAAGGCAGGCAGGCAGGTGGCTCTTCATCTCATCTGTCTTCTTCCGTGCAGCTCGACACCATATTCGAGATGGTCATGTCCGATGGGCCCAAAATGTTCGACTGCGAGAGGGTAATCAACCAGTGAGTGACGCCACCGACCAGACCCACAGACACACCCAATCCAATGCAGTCACTACTCACTTCGCTTCGCCCATCTGCGATGGATGTGTATGCAATTCAGGTGACGTTGTTCCTGTACGACAAGAGCAAGGAGGAGCTGTGGTCCAAGGTCGTGTCGGGCGAGCAGGAGGGCTTCCAGATCGTCCTCAAGACCAACGCAGCAGAGCAGGGCTTCACGCGATGGGTCTTCTACAACAAAACCATTGTCAACGTACGAGAGGCCAGAAAGGTAAGGTCGGTCAGATGCAATGCCAGAACACAGAGATGGAGAGATGGAGGGAAGGGCCACCCGCCATGGTCTATCCCATCCCCTCTTCGCCTGTGCGAGTGTGTATGTGTCTGTGTATGTGTATGTGTATGTGTATGTGTGTGTCAGGATGCGCGCTTCGACCCGTCAGTGGACCACCGGACAGGTTTTGTGACGCGGTCGGTGCTGGCGGGCCCGGTGGTGCGTGAGGACGGCGAGGTCGACGGCGTCATCATGCTACTGAACAAGCACAACAGCAAGGGATTCACAAAGGTACCTACCTGAGCGACCCACTGACTCACACACAGAGGCACACAGTGTAGTGTATCCACCCGCTCCATCCCATGGACTGTCTGTCTCTCTCGTCTGGTCTGGTCTGTGTCTGTCTGTGCAGGATGACGAGCGAATGCTGCGCATGCTGGCCAACCACGTGCGCATCTTCATGGACAAGTTTGAGCACGACCCGTCCTCCAACCAGTCGGTTATCTTCCTCAGAGCCCTCCCCTCGCGAGTGCGGAGGGCCGCCGAATCCTTCGGCAAGGAATCCAACAACGACACCACCGTATTCGCAACCTCCACTTGAGGGATGGTTTGTCAGCCCTCCACGTGTGTGTGTCCCCTGTGTGTGTGAGAGAGAGGAGTAAGAGAGAGAGAGAGACACGTCGGAGGGTTTTTCTCGCTCTTATCGAGTTTTTCCGTGTGGATTCGCTTGCGAGTTTTTCGGTGTGTGACAGACGGCAGGATGGACAGACAGGCAGACTGACGGGTGTGTGCGGTGCATTGCGTTGCGGTGGGCGGCCTTCCTCACTCTGTAGGGGATGGACGGTCGATACGACGGATGCCAGACACACTGACCTGAGACACCTGTGTAGATGGATGGATGGATGGATGGATGGACTCCGTTCCGTTCCCCTGCTAAGCTAACAAACCAAACCTGTGTGCCTGAATGGGTCACTTACTTGCGGTAGGTACTGACGTGGTACGCACCTTTTCTGCGTGCGGGAGCGCGCCGGTGCCGTGTGTTGTGTATGTGCCGTCGCGTTGTGTGATGCGAAATACGTGTGTGTGTGTGTGTGTGTGGCACGGATTGCGCGTACGTACTCTGTCCGTTTGTCCGTTTGTGTGGTGTGCCCATTGCGTATGGACAGAGAGGCGACCGGCAGACAGACATTGAGACAGACATTGATATGGAGAAACCCATGCATGGACCTCCCAACCTACTCGGACGACGCATTGCATTGCAACCGACAGACATACAGCTGCAGAAATGTATGTGTGTGTGTGTGTATGGATGGCGGGCGGTTTTCACCACTTACTCCGCCCGCCTCTGTACGCATCTCATCCAGGTAGGTCGCCGCGTCTCGTATACGTACGTGTGTGTGTACATTAACTACATAAGTGAGGGTAGCTGTCTGTGTCCGTGCGGCTGGATGGATGGATGCCGACCGGCACCTCCGAAAACAACAAACTCGCTGCATGTGTCTGGTGTGTGCACGTGTGTGTGCACTTAGGGTGGCTGACACTCACCCAGCCTGTGGGTCTGGCTGTCGACGTTGGTGTGAATCAGTGTGTGTGACTGCTTCGCAATTCAGTTGTTGGCCAGGAAATCGTCGTATTCGCGAGCTCCACCGATACGATCGCCGATGAATGTGGTTGCTTTCGTTCCCTGTCCCCGCCCACTCCCCCCTGAAGTCGGCATTACCATGCATCCCGCTCTCCTCCCAATTGCCTCCACAGATCTGCCCCCGCCTCCCTCGCCCGCCTCTCCTTATATTGCGCATGGCCGACACCACGATGCCGACTGAGCAGCAAGACAGCCAGGAGCACGCACGCGACCCCAATCAGTCTGATCAGCAGCCACCCGCCGAAGACCCATCTCTGCCCTCCGCCATCGCTGCACCACACTTCGACCTGTCAGCGGCTGAACAGGCAGCAGGTGGGCTCTGCAGGCTGTGTCTGCATTCATGAGTGAATGAATGCTCTGTGGTTGTGGTGCGTGTTGTGTTGTGTTGTGTTGTGATTGTCGACCACCAGATGGTGTCGAGGCTCTCGAGTTGGCGGGAGTGCCTGCTGAGATGGTCACTGCCGCAGTGCGTCGGTTCCCCGGTGTGAGGGATCTGCATGTGGAAGATGAAGTGCTCGCCAGGCTCGACCAATTCAACTTCCTCATACAGGCAGGTGCACAGGCAGGCAGGCAGGGAGGTGATATCAATGCGATCCTTCTTGATTTGTCTTTCCTCCTCCTCCCTGGGCACTGTGTGCGCCAGGACGGCGCCCTCACGGTTGAGCAGACACACCGGCTGATAGCCAACCAGCCTTGGTGTCTGGAAAGGGCCATCAAGTAACCAGCAGGCAGCTGAAGCAAGACGATTCATTCTTTGTGCAGGATCTTGCAATCCTCTGGCCTATGCGTGCGTGACGACATACATGCAGGGTGGTGCACGAGTGCGAGGGCTACGTGGTGATCGACAAGCCCGACAATGTGAGGATGGACGTGCCCCGCACCAAGAGCCACAAGTACGACCGGGAGCTCACCGTGGCCGACTGGTTCAAGAGGAGATGCCCCTCGAGTGATAAAGTCAGGCCCTGCCACCAACTCGGTAGGCAGACCACCCCACCACACGCAATGCATTGACGGCAACCGTTCCTTCCTTGTGCTGTCTGTCGTCAGATCATGCCACATCTGGTGTGTTGGTGATGGGCAAGACGAAGGAGGCAACGGGCAGATGCGCTGTCCTCTTCAGCCAGAGGAAGGCCCGCAAACAGTACCTGGTACATACAGCAAGCAGACCGACAATCAATGCGTCCACCCCACCCTGACTCATCCTTCTGTCTGTAGGCCCTTGTGTACGGCCACCCGAGCTGGGACGAGACGACCGTCGATGCGGCCATAGAGGAGGACCCCAACCATGAGTTCAACATGCAGGTAGAGTAGACCAACAGAGCCACTTACGACGAGGAAAGTCAGAGAGACCACCTGATACGATACGACGTTTCCTTTGTATGCAGATTTCTGAGAGCGGCAAGCCGTCTCAGACGGCCGTGAAAGTGCTCCAACGGTCCCATCTGGCCCTGGAGGGTCCACTGAAGGGCACCCCGGTGGCGAAGCTGCTTCTCATCCCAGCCACCGGTCAGACAGACAGCGGCTCCTCTACTCTGCAGCACTCACACATTTGCCGTGTGTGTGTGTGTGTGTTGTGCTGCGGTGTGTTGTGTTGTGTTGTGTTGTGTTATGCAGGTCGACGTCACCAGCTGCGGCTGCACTGTCGGCATGTGGGCCATCCCATCGTTGGCGACTACCAATACTCGGCATACGGCAGGGGCCACGAGCCGCCGTCCTACAGGATGTGCCTACACGCCTACCGGCTGGAGCTGCCCTTCGACGACGACGGCGAAGGGCAGCCTCTCGTGCTGGAGGCGCCCGACCCTTTCCACACACACGTGTTCCTTGAAGACTGATGAATGAATGAATGGGTGGCTTGTCAAGCCGTTTCGGCAGCGGTTAGTTGTGGCTCCACGCTGGTGGTGGGTTTGTGTCTTGGTCTTGTGTTTGTCGTGTTGATAGCGGTGGTAGGCGGGCAGAGGGGGTGGGGGAGGGTGCGTGTGTGGGCTTTTCGGACCATCGCTTTGTTGGTTGGCTATCGCACCCGACCACAGCTGCCGATCGGGTGGTCGGAAGGGGTCCGGCTCTCATTCAGTGACAGCCCTTCCTTCCCCACCCCACAGAGCCACCCGTCCTTCACCAAGATGACAAATCCATGATGTACATGACGCCCATACAACTGGACAGACGACAGACAACCGGTAGCAAAAAGCGCAACGACACACAAAAAGCAGTTTACTGACTCATTGCAGGCTCGCCGCGCCACGCCCCCACCTCATTCGCAGATCCAGCAGACCCCTCTAGAACCCCCCGCACCGATAAACAAAACTGCTGTCTGGCTGGATTCCCTCCCCCTCTCGACAGATCGATCAAGTCACATCCTTTGGTTGATGCTCTGTGTGCCGTTGGCCATCCTGCCGTTGTAGGGCGGCACTTGAGTGACGTGGCTGCATGCCCCTGCGCCCCCGTGCAGGTCGGGCCGCTCCTCGAGCGCCAGCCGCTCCACCTGGTCGCCGATGTGGTTGAGGGTGATGATCACGTCAGTACCCACACCCATGTAACTCTGAACAATCATGCAACATACACAGACAGACAGACAGGGATGGAGGGAGGGAGGGAGGGGGCAGAGCGTGTCAACACACACAGTGAGACGGACAACACACACATACACATCAAGATGCGTACCTGCACAGTGAGGTCGCCGCCGAAGTATCTGGCGAATGCGCGGCTGAGTGGGAGGCCGAAGCCGTAGCCAGCCATGTCAGCGCGGATGAAGTTGCCGGCGAGGTTCACTTGGTTGGCGGCACCGAAGTTAGCGTTGGAGTCGCTCACTGTCGAATACCTGACAATGATGGCATACGAGGGGAGACACACAGGGCGAGGATGGATGGATGGATGGGCCACGAGGCCCCCTGGTCCCCGGCTCACCCGAACTCCCATATTTTGGCGAGCTTTGCTGGTGGAATGCCGCCGCCTGCAATCATCGCATCCATGGAAGCCAGGTAGGACTACTGTGGCTGTCACTCACTCACTCCCTCGCCCATCCACCCTTCCCTCCCTCCCTCCGCCAAACTTACCTTTGTCTGATATTTTGATGATGACGTCTTCTTTGCCCTTGAAGACGTCAACCACCACCGGCGGCAGCTCAGACTCGTCAGTTATCAAGGCTGGTCGAGTCGACACACATACGACACCACACCCACATAGACGGGTGCATGTATGCATCATGCGCATTAGTGTGTGCGAACGCACGTGGCGGTGAGTCCTCCAGTGGTGACTGCAGCGAGTTGCCCATGGTGTAGAACTCCACAGTGGCACGCATGGAGTTCTTGAGGATCTCTGCACGCAACGCAACGCACACAGGATGACACAGGTGCGCGTCAACAGGTGTGTGTGTGTGAGAGAGAGGTAAGGGTGGAGACTGACCGATGACGATGAGCGAGAGGTGTTCGGGTATGAATGGGAATGCCGTGTTGATATTCCCCCCAATGTTGCACAGAGGCGCTATCCCGTAGGTGTGACGGCACGACTCACGAACCTCCTCTGCTCGATCCTGACATACACATACGGACCGGACCGGACACACAAGCATGGCGCCCGTCGTCACAGCACCGTCGGATCTCTCGTCTCAGCCCGCCCGCCTACCCTAATGACGTCTGCAGGCTTGCACTCCAGATTGATGCACCCAGCCCAGCCGCTCTGTCAGACACGCACACACACACACACATGGGCGCGGTGCGGTGCGGTGCCTGACTGGATGGGATGCCGTGTGTCGGTTGGTATGTACCGTACCCTTGGGTAGTGCAGTGCGACTAAATGGTCGATCATGGTCCGCCTGGATATGCGGAAGAGGAAGAACCGGTCGAGGAATGCGTCGATCTTCAGGTCGGGACACACCATCTGCAGCTGCTTCAAACCCTGACCCATGAAGTCGACTGCAGTGCACACACACACACACACACACGACAGACAGACAGACAGACGGACGGACAGACAGACAGAGGGATGGGGGCAAGCCAGCTGCCTGTGTTTTCTGTGGTTCGTGCCTGTTCTGTCGTGGGCTCCTCTCTGCTCCTCCAGGAACCTGCTCGTTCACACACACACACACACACACGCCATCGATCCATCCATCCGTCCCTGTCTGTCTGCATGGTCTCATTCACTCACTTGATGAAGTCGGTCTCCGCCTTTTTGCTGTCGATGGAAGGCACTTTCAGAAGCTTGGCAAACGTCTGAAACACACACCAACCACACACAAACACACATACTCATTCCCGCCTGTTTGTTTTCCTGCTGCCCCCTCCCCATCTGTATGTATGTACCATGTAGTAGGTGTCGTATGTTTGCCTGACGAAGGGGTTGCCGATGACGATGAAGGGCAGCCGGTGGAAATCATACAGACGGTGCGCCAAGCGAATGGACAGCTGCTGACGGACCCATTCAGCACTGACAAGACAGACAAACAGACACAACACAATCAATCACCTCGTACATGCTCTTTCGTTAATTTCTCTTGTTGTCTGTCTGTCTGTCTGTCTGTCGCTTTGGTTCCTTTCTTGGTGTGTTACTTACTTTTTGATGAGTGCGCTATCGCCGTATGAGTTGGTCTGCAGCAGTGCCTGCATGGTCATGGGCTGGATGGCCGTCCGGTGCGCGTAGCTCTCGATGGCCCCTATCCGCTGCCACAGCTTGTCCAGGTTGCAAAACATGCCCTCCCCACCACCCGCAGCGCTCAGCCCCAGAGCACGCTTCCCCGCCGACATGGCAGCGTTGGTGGACACGATGCTTGACATGGATAAGTAAGAAATGGGAAGACCAGGTGTCGAACGCCTCTCTCTAGAGGTGGGGAAAGGACTTGGCACGAGGACTGCCGTTCACACACACACATCGATAGAACATTGACAACTCTTCTGTCCATTTCACAGCTCTTCTGCCTGCGTGGCTGTCCACACGCACACCTACCTGCACAGGTCGGCTGGACCGAGTTGTGCCGCTTCACGACTCTATTCGCCGAGGGAAATCATTGTTTGCATCATCTGTGAGAACACAGCTGCTGGGAGAGTAAATTCTAAGCTCGCAGAAGTCGGAAAGCTCGCAAAGTTGGGAGTGCTGCAAGCCGCTCCTGCTCCTCACTAAGGTCCCCATCCCTTCCGTTAACGGCTTTCTTGCAGAAGAAGCGGAACTCAGATGCGAAGGTGCGATTCCATACACCACACACACATGAAACGTGGTGAAGGGGAGATGCATCGCCCTGGATGTGCTGTTGTGCTGCTTCAGGTTTGATGGGAGGCCGCCGGGTCGCCTACGAGGCTCTGGACGACGGCCGGTAGGGTAGAAATATGGGCGAGAGATTGAGCTCAGGGGACCCTTTCCCGTGTGTGTGTGTGTGTGCTGTTCGTTCCATGCCAGGTGTCGCCTCGTCTGCCTCCCTCTCCCGACGGTCGCTATAGCCCTTCCCCTCCCGGCCCTCCGAGGCGCACCAACTCCAGACAGCACGACTTCATGCCCCTAGATGACCGTCGTCCTCCCCGTGACTTCACGCCTCCTTACCGTGGCAGCCCGTCACCCTCCCGACCGCCACCGCCCAGCAGGCGGCGCAGCGACGTCCGCGGCAGTGGGCCAGAGCCGTCGAGGTGGGAGATGGACAGAGGGCCGCGCGATCACTCTCCCCATGGGCCGATGCGCCACTCGCGTCCGAGCAGCCGCTCCAGGTCACCATCTCCCCCGCGCAAGGCTGCACGGAGTGAGAGAGGCCGCGGTTTGCCCTCGCCACGATCGCAGGACAGGAGGCCGCCCAGCCGGCCGGGAGAGGGGAGGGACAGGCGGATGTTCGACTCTCGTGACCGGTCGTCATCTCGATCTCGTTCGGTGATATCGCGCCATCGGCTGTCGCGCTCGCCCATCGTCGACCGCAGACGACGGTCCAGAGAAGACATGGAACGTAAGCAGCGACACGATCCATCCGTGCATATACGGGGTCTGCATGTATTCGTTTTCGCTGCCTGTCGCTGATCCACCATATAGGTTCCAGGCGCCGCGCCCTCAGCCCGCTAAGGCAGGAGCCGCTGCCCCCCCTCCATCCTCGCCCCAACGATCGGCCGCTCTTCAATGGTCGCCGCGATCGATCGCCACCTCACGCCCTCGACCGCTCACGTCACCCGCCGCCATACCCGCACCCACATCCGGCATCGCTGATCGCCGATTTCCCTCTCAAGCCACGACTCGTCCACCCAGAGCCGAGGCATCACCAGCCGGACGTTTTGAGGGTGCCTGCCGGCCCCAACACCAACCCCATTCCGTCGCCCAGCAGCGCGTCCAACAACGGTCATGGTCGGCCTTACTCGCGGGATCGGTCAGTGAGGCGAGGAGAGAGGGAGGCCGAGCCTCAGCGGACGTCGCCCATCACACCGTCGATGCGCGCCAAGGACGTGGATAGGGAGCTGGTGCTGCCCGAGATGCCTCAGGAGCATCCCGAGCGTCAGCGGGACGATGGGAGGGGGGACAAAGGAGGAGATGTGTCCAGGAGGAACCATGAGATCAAGCGGAAACGGGAGGAGTCACCGAGGCAAGCTGAGGAGGACGCGCAATGGTCGGGGGCCGCCGAGAGCGTGGCCGCCGCAGCTGCTGCGGAGGCTGCGGGTGCTGCTCTGAGCAAGGCTAAGGCTGGTGATGGTCCTGCTCAAGCAGCTGGGGGTTTTGTGGTGACGAGGTTGCCCCCCAAGCGACGCATCAGTATCATGTTGCCGCTCAGGCAGAAGGAGGAGCCCAACCAGACGGCCGACAAGCAAGCGGGACGTGAGCGGGACGACAAGGCGGCGGAGGTTCACGGGAGAGAGGAGGAGCCAGCCAGCGAGCCCACCAAGGAGGCCTCCGAGCCAGTGGTCGCCCAGGCAGAAACGACACACCATCATCCCCTGCCACAGCCCCCAGCCGTCCAGCACCAGGAGGACATCCATGAAGAGCCGGCAAAGGCGCCGCCGCTTCCGGCGGGCGATGTGGATGGGGCTGGGGATGCCGTGGATGCGTATCGGCCTGTGAATTGGACCAGCTGTGCTCTGACGGGCCACTGGGCGCTGCTGGAGGGAGGGGAGAAGCTGAGGGCACTGCTGACCGGTCGGCTGGACGACGCCCTCGACGACCGACAGAAGGAGCAACTCGCCATGGCTGCAAACAGGTGGGTGGGTCGGGATAGCTGCACGAAAGGGGAGGGAGACTCTGGTCAGTGGGGCTTGGTGCATTTGTTTGTTGATGGCTTTTTGTGCAGGCGTGCACTGTGGGTGCAGCTGGTGTGCCGCAACTGGCTGGTGGGCCAAGGGGACGATGCAGAGGCATCAGAGAGCAACCCGCCCTCTTCACGACCTGATTGAGCAGTGAAAAGGGCGTGTGTAATGGGGGGAGTGTGTAATGGGCAGAGTGTTGATTTCATGGGTGTTCTATCTATCTAGATAGGCAGCTGATATGCATGGTACCTCACCTCCATGAACACGCGACGTTCGTATGGTATGGTTGGTACGGTGGGGTCACATTGACGCACTATCGATAAAAAGAACATGTCGGCGAAAAGTTACCGCACAGAAACGCGTACGCCCTAACGTCCCCTCACGTCCTCAACTCACTCACTCACGCACTGTCCGCTGTCTTGAGAACCTTGGATGGGCGCTCGCCTCCCTCGCCCCCCTCACTACTCCCACCCCTGCTCTGTCTCTTCTGCCGGTCAACAAAGTCCTGCAAGCTGTCAACTCCAATCCCCCTCTTGGCCAGCCCCTCACGCAGAGCCGTCTCCAGCCCCTCGCCGCCATCCAGAGTGACGGCCCTCCCGCCAGGCACCACGAAGAGCATGCTCGATTGGTCGATCCAGCGGAACTGAGGCTTCAGAGCATCCCCCGCCTCGCCGGAGATGTCAGAGAAGTACCGCTGGAAGTCCGTGTTGTTGAAGGCGTGCTCGAAGCCGTGGAGCCAGAGGATGATGCCCTTGTCAGTGTCGAGGATGAGTCGATCCTCGCCCACCAAGTCGCCCTCCACATTGGTGTTGAAGTCCCACAGCGACCGCATGAGGTGTAGATAGTTGGCGTGCACAGACACGTCCGGGATGCCGGGATCGGCCATGAAGTACGCAAAAAGCCGACCGGTGACGTATGCATCGTAGCCTGCGAACGCGCGAATGCACACACACAAACGTCACGCCCCTATGTCCACCGGGGTGGCTGATGTGCGGTCATTTCGCACTAGCGTACCTGCTTCGTGGAACTTGGCGTTGCCCGCATCTGCTCGGTAGGTGTCGAAGCCCTCAGCCATGACGAACTCCACCGGCAGGGAAGACCTCTCTGCCAGCTGCTCAGTAAGGTCCTCCAGACCTACGCACGCACACGACATCAATCCATCACACGATAAGCCGACCTCTCTTCTGCACTGTCCTCCTTCCCACACCTGACCTGTGGAATCGAATTGCTTGTCGGGATGATGAGAGGCCAGCACTGCAGAAGCAGACGACAAGAGCCCCCTGCTTCTGTGTCCGTCTTACCTCTGTGTTTCTGCATACGTTTTGTGTCGTAGGTGGTCGGCAGGAGGGCTGCCTTGGCCTTCTTGAAAGCCGCCGCACCGTCCGGCAGCGGCGCCTCCATCCGGTGATACAGGAACAGGAGGTCGTAGAGGCCATTGTGGACCACGACCGGCTTTCTCGACTTACATATCATCTTCCACACACGCCGGAGGCCCACCTGCTCACGGAATACCTTCCTCTTGGCCGCCTTGTCGCGCTCCTCCCTCTCCTGTTTCTCCTCCACGGTCAGGTTGAGCACCACCCTCTGTGGAATCCACCTGCTCTTGCCGGGGCGGGTTTCGACGATGAGATGCGGGAATCTTGCCTCGATGGTCTCGCGCACAGCCCGAGCTAAGAATGTGTTACAGTTGGGGAGGACAAGCTCCTTGGCGCCGCTCTGCAGCATGGCACCCACGCTCTCCATGACGTTCGCCAGGTAGCTGATGTCGTCCTGTCTGGTGAGTTCGATCTTGTGCTGCGGCCTGCCGGGCATGTCAAGAGGGTCTAGTTGCTGCGGTGTTGGGAAGAGTGACTCGGCGAGATTTCTCTCGCCGGCAGCGTCGAGGTACGAGATGCCCTTGCTCATCCAGCGGCCGAAGTCAAATGAATGGGATCGCAGAAAGTCCATCGAGGACGAATCGATAAGAAGCTGCTGGGAGAAGCTGTCATTGTGGGCCCGGGGGAAGCAATAGAAGTTGAAGGGCCGCACTTCATATGTGCGCTTGCCGCTGCCACTGCTGTCTTGACCCTCCGCGAACAGACAGACGCCCCACTGTGCGATTCCGTACTGAGATGCGACTTTCTGCATCTTGCCGTAACGCACATCTGGAGTGTCGCTGGCTGAGATCTTGGTAAAGGGGTTGCTGTTGAGAGTGATGCCTGTCATCTCGAGGTCAATGGCGATGAAGGCCGCCGATGGAACTGCTGCTTCGAACATACACATGGCCTCCTCGGCGTTGTCGGTATCAACATTCATGGCTGAAAGAACAGAAGGTGTCTACAGACACAAACAGGCACAAGATGCGTTGACAGATCTATGTGGAAAGCACGGGGAAAGCACAACGGAGAAGGCGGAATATGGGTCGCGGATGCGAGCTTGATTGGTGTGGATCGAGATCTCCGTTGAGGTGTGCATCGGGCCCGACCAAGTTGACATGCAGGACCATCTGCACTGTGTTTGACCCACGAAGCGCCAAGAGAAGCTGAGAGTTCGGCGGCGTACTCGCCGGTGATGGCAGGGCGCAAAGCGTCACACATGTGCACAGCGGATAGCCCTTGTTCAGAATCTACATCCCTTATTTGTCCATGAATGCACGTCACGTCCTATAAAGACGAAATGAGTCCAAAGCACTGCCTGCCGGGACTGAGAGTTTCTTCCAGACACGTGTCGTCCCACACAGCCTCCACATAGTTCAGCGCCTGAGACAAGCTGCTCTGCAATGCGGGATCGCCCGTCTGACACGAAACATCCATGTAATCACGTTTGCCTATGTCTATGTCTATGTATCTCTCTCTCTCCGTGTGCGTGTGTCTTTGTCGCTACCTGATTGGAAGCATCGGCCCCCCAGCACATGCCTGTCTGTGAGCTGGTCAGGGCACAAACGTGGTGCCGCCCACACGACAGCGTCGAAAGAGAATAGCTGTCACGCGACCGCTTTGCCTGAAAGACATGCAGAAAGAGACACGACCAGGTGGTGGTAAGGCCATGTCTCACCCACACACCCGCCCATGCACGCACCTTTATCGTCCCCGTTGTGCCGTCGACGGCAAGCCAGTTCACCTTTTCGCTGAGCCCCGCGGCAGAAGCATCCCCGGTACCACTTCCCGTCTCTACCTCTGATACATCCATGCACCTCGCAGACGCCCACACACCGCTTGTCGGCCCCATATCGTTCTCGGCCACGCACTCGGCGTTCTGTCCGGGTGTGCTGGCCACTATGTATGCCGCGGTGCATGTTTTGGTGGGCGAGTAGCACGAGCATGTGGCAAGGAATGACGGGGCGGGGTAGACGTTGCTGCAGCGGGTGGATGTCTGCGCCAGGCCGCCAGAGAAGGTCGACTGCACGTTGGACGAGGAGGCTCTATAGACAGTGCTGTTGAAGTTTAGACACCTGAATCAACAAACACAGCACACGACAAACATAGAGAGAGACATCAGCTTGCCATTCCCTCTGCCTACAGTGCTTGCGCATAGACGCCCGTGCCGTTGTTCTTGTTATATGCAGCGCACGTATCGCCGGCAGCCCTCGGTCCCAGACAGTTGGCTGCTGACGTGCTGGAGTAGCAGAAGCAGCCGGCGAGCGTGAAACCGGCCGTGGTGTTGCAGCTGACCTGCACTCCGCTGCCGAACAAAGTCGAGCTGAGCCCACTCACCTCGGAGGTCTGATCGAGAAGGGCGTTAGACGCAAACTCCACACATCGGGCCTGACAACCATAGACATACAGAGAGAGAGAGAGAGAGAGAGACCTATCCACGTGCGGCCACGTACACACGAGGCCAGTCCACCTCTGTGTGTACCTGTGCTTCGACGGTCTGTCCGTCCTCGCCGTTAATGGCAATGCAGCTCTGGGTGGCCACAACGACTCTGGTGCCGTCACATGCGCCGCCCGCTGAAGGGCGACAGCCGCACCCCACCAGCACTTGCCCAGCAGGACAGTCCGCACTCGCCTCGTCGCCCACATTAGTCCCAGATGGACCATCCCATTGCACACTCACCGACAGGGCCTTCATAAAGGAGACAAAGAAATGGTAACTTGTGTGTCGGCATTGTCCATTGTCGTGTGCTGCTTACGAATGTGCCGGAGTCAGCTTGTGACGGGTAATCCATGTTGAGAAAGGACAGCTGCCGCACATCACTCGACGCCCCTCCCCGTCCCGCCCCCTCATGAGACCCCTCCACCCACAGCACCTCCCTCCCTAGCCTCCTTCGCGACACCATCATGCCACCATTGTCCCCACCGCCAGCTGCATGAGCCGCCTTAAGTCGTCCCGCCGTCTCGTCCATCTGCTGCAGCCGTCTGCTGGGCGTTGAAATAGATCGATCGCCGAAGTTGAAGCAGTCGAGGAGGCTATAGTAGTCGGACGTGGCCTGCCGCTCGAGACACGTCTGAGTGTCGGTATCGTTGGCATCCTCGATCGTGAGGAACTCTGAGGGGGCCTGCGCCATGTCCAGGACGAAGGGCGTCCAGAAGTTGTCGTCAACGGCTGGGCTGACAGGGGTGTAGCGATCGATGAAGAACGTGCCGCTAGTGTTGGTCCGGTACACAGACAGAGAGGCGTCGGCCACTGTGAACCCACCTGACGACCTGCACGAATGCACGAAAGACACGGACAGTGACTATTGAGTCGTTCATTGAGTCACTCACGTGGTCCAGAGGTGTATGAATGGCCTGAGGAAGCAGGAGGACGTGTTGCCGGCCGGGCTCTGCGAACAAGCGGCGGTGTCGTCCTCCTGCACCACTATCACCTCAGGCCCATAGGAGTTGGTGTCGTCGCGAAGCAAACCGGCACGAACCAGACGCCCCTGGATGTTCAAATCGCGGATGCTGCATGACGTAATGCGACGAGACGCCAGCACTCACTGTGACGGGGACAGCACGATCTCTTTCGTCTCTTCGTGTGACTCACATGGCCTTGTCGCTCGCCTCGTTGGTGTCATCGATGAGCAGCCGGATGTAGCGAGCCGTGCGAGTGGGCGTGCTCATGGTGTGCGTCGATACCAACTGTCACACACAAAGGAAACATGCAGGTGTCTCATGAGGTTGATTGAGTGCACGGATGTCACTTACCGTGCCGGCGGGGTTGGCAGTGACGGGATCGATGAGGTCGTGCCACCAGTCGGTGTCGTTGTTGCGGACCTGAATGGTGTAGTTCCTGCGGGCATTGTGATGCATGACAGACACATGAACAATGGGACACTCATTTCCCTGCGCTTCACCTGATTGAGTTCGCGCCGCCTGTGCCACTTTCGATTTCGACACTCTCGATGGAGTAGAACCTGCCAGCAACATGCACACGACATTGCACTGCACGAGACACACACACAGTGTTCGCAAAGAGCCTGCTGACGCCTGCAGGTCCACTTCAAGTGTGTGCGGCGGCGAGGTGTCGCTTTCCCAGTAAGTGTTGGTGGGGTCTCCGTCAATGGCCTTGTTGGCGTCCCCTGTTGCGCTGTTCGCCGTGATTGTCACACCACTATTCTCCTCCAGGTCTCCCAGAGAATCTGTCAATCCAGACACAAATCGAGCCGTCGCAATGCATTGTCCTCTGTGCCTTTCTCACGGACCTCCGAAGTCGACACATGCTTTATTGTGCCAGGCGGTCCAGCAGGCCATGTCGGTGGCCACGTGGAGGTCCATGTCCAGGACGTTGGAGCCCCACTCGAGCAGCAGCACCGTGTAGCTCAGCGGCGACCCCGCTGTCATGGTCACGTCAGGCACCAGATTCACGTCAGCCGTTCCTGTCCCTCGCGCAATGTCCACGTCACTCTGACACACATACATGTAGTGTGATGTCTCTCTTTCTGTCGCTTCGGTTTTGCTCCCTGGGTGGTGCTACCGTGATGGTGAAGGTGTGTGGGACGTAGCCGGTGGCTGATGCCTCCAGCGACGTGGCGCTGGTGGCGATCGACACGCTGTAGGTGCCGAAAGCGTCAGTCGACGTCGCTGCGTGAATCAATGACAAATGCGTTTGTGCGGCCGTGGAGGTGGAGGTGAGAGAGACCACCGACTTACCGTTTACCGATGCCCCCGCGATTGGGTAGTGCGTGAGGGCGTCCCGGACAAAGCCTTCTACAGTGATTGTGGTCGACGCCGTCACATCGTCGCAGGCGTCGGTCTCCAGGAAAATCTCAAAACGGTCCTGCACGCACCCCACAACATCCACCCACACATATACATAATGCAGATACACACACATCTCTCCCGCCCTCCATCTTACAGTGAAGGTGTTGTTGGAGATCCTGATGTTGACACTCCCAGTGCCAGAGAGCGACGCCACGCTGCCAAAAGCCCTCACAGCGTCACTGGCTTCCCGTGTGAGGAAGGCAAACACCGGAGTGTTGCCGGTCACCCCCGTCAGCGTGCCCGCCTCTACAATGGTGCCGTCGATCGAGTGCTGACCCTTGGGTATGGCCAGCCAGCCGACGGTCTCTGTGGTGGGGTGGGGGGGCTGCAGGTCGATGCCGCCGCCCTCGAGCGCCACACGGAAGCTGATGTGCTCGGTGATGGCGGTCGTGGGGGAGGCTTGGCGGGTCTTGACGAAGTTGGGAGACACGTAGGATTGCACCTGCACGTATTGATGTATCCAAGCATCAGACAGAGAGGCAGCATGGCAAGGGACGGTGGGTTGATCTGAACGGCTTACTTGTGTGATGACGACGATGGATGAGCTGTAGGAGGAGTTGAAGGGTATGGGGAAGGTGACGGAGTGGAAAGCCCCCCCGCTGATGCTGACCGTGCCAACCTACCCGTCACAACACAAGACCCAGCATCCACCACCAATCCACCTGACGTCAAGTACCTGGAAAGGCACCCCGGCGTCTGTGTGGTATGCGCCCTCCTCCAGCGCCAGGAAGGGCAGCACCTCAGGCGGATGCTCGTCGTCACGACAACTAGGCTACACGCACAAAAGAGGTGTGATGCATGCGTCCGTCCAAGCATGTGCGTCGTGTCTCATCCACCACCGTGTACGTGCGTGTATACCTCCTGCAGAGTGAGGTCGAAGCGCCACACAGACCCAGTGCCATCATAGCGGGGCGGCTGGATGCGCACCACCACATTGTTGGGACCATAGTACGTCGGGATACCTGTGCATTCGGCTACATGGATGCAGCCCCCTTGCCCTCTTGGCTGCCTCACCGCCGAATATCACAGGCCTGGTGAACGGCTCTGAGAGATCGATGGTCTTCCACCGGGACGTGGAGGTGATGGCGTCTGTGGTCCGCACGCCGAACTCGCCCACGTCTACAGCGGCGTGTGCGAGATCGACATTGAGCGACGCCCCTGCCACTGATGACTTGCCCCAGCAGTCCACTCGCCTGCACACACACGCATCCGTCCGTCCATCGTCCATGTATATGTCCAACACGGCACGTGGTTTGACCTGCCGTTGTATTGGAGGCCGCAGGAGAAGAGGGCACCTGCGCACATCTGCATACATAAACAGGTGAGGGGGACGCATTGACAGACAGGCATCAACAATTTATGTCTCTCTGTGTCGCTCACTCACAGTGGAGTATCCCCGGTCCGAGGGCGTCTGCGACACCTGCCCATGAGCATCCAGACCCCAACACCGCACGCTACCATCGGACACCAACCCACACGTGTGCCACCCCTTCATAGACACATCTGTGTAGTGGTATCCTGCACACACATACACACACACATATACACGAAGACACCGAAAGCCATCTAAAGTTCCCACCTGGCGCCAGTGTGGCGGGTGTGGTCTGGTGGTAGGTGCTGCTGCCGGTGCAAGCCACCGTCCCGTTGTCCATCACCTCACAACCATGGAACGCACCCGTCCGTTCAGGGACCGCACTGAACTCAAACAGCTCCACATTCTTAACCATCACCGATGCGTCCACGCCGCCCCCACTGTCGGGTGGGTCGGCATTATAGTATCTGTTGGCCGCATAGATGCCGGTGCGTGCCAGGGATGGCATGCTAGTGTTGCTGAAGAGGATCGGCTCGCCAAGCAGTGTCCATGGCCGATAGGAGTTGATGCGGTAGTAGCCTGCGCGTGTTTGTGAAGGGGACAGACAGATGCATGGATGGCGATGATGACATAAAGGGTGTATATGTGAGTGTTTCATGTCTCATGCATACTCGTGGTGGATCATTGTGTGGACTGACCGCTGAAAAAGAGTCGGCTCCTCACCACTGCACGCACATACGACGCAAACACCAGCCACACGCCCAAATATGAAATCTTCCGCGTATTGGCGACTTTCTCGTCGCTCGCCTCTCACGTACGCCTCAGGTCGACGGCGTAGAAGTCCGACAGGTCCAATGTCCTCGTCAGCACCGCAGGAATCGAATCAAATGCTTGGGACTGCTTAAGCGAGTTGGCCATACTGACCTCCACTGTCGACGTGTCGTTGTTGACCCGCGCCTCGATATAAAAGAAATGCTTCCGGGGCACCGAATCGACCGCCGCATCTGCCGCAAAGAGGCCCGCCGCGAGAGTTGACAGTTCTGGTCGGAATTGTAGCGTGGCCAAGAGTGACCAGAGAGCTGAGCCTGATGGGTTGGGGCCGAGGTCGGTTGTCAGCTCGATGGCCGTGTTGGCCTCGGGGGAGCTCTCCTTCATCCAATCCGGGATTGTCAGCTCGGTCTCGCAGATGCTTCCGGGGCTGGTGGGGTTCATCCCTGCAGTATTCCTCGCCACAAATGACCCGAGGTCACAGGTGGGTTTGACGATCAGGAAGCCGATAGAGACAGGCGGGACAGGCGGGCTACCGGTCTCGTAATAGCAGACTCGGAACTCCCCAAGTGCTGTGACAGTGACGCCATCAAATTCCAGAGAATCACCCACGGCCGCGACGGAACCGCCGATAGTTACGGCGGGGTCGTTGGCGGGCGAGGGGGCGGGGCAGGGGAGATGTGAGCGGAGGATACATAGCTGTGAGGACGGAGTGCCAGGAGTGAGCCCCAAGCCACGAACGGTAATGGTGCCAGCCGCGCTCTGTGTGAGGATGAATTGGTGAGAGCGCGAGGGATAGTCAGATGCGCACAGCGGGAGAAGAACAGCAACCAGAATGAGAGAGGCAAGCATCTTCGTAATCGCCATTGCTGCGTGGTCGCGCGGAAGAAGTTGAAATTGACGCGTCTCATGCAGTCTCTGCCCCCCAGTGCAATTGCCCCAGTGGCCCACAATTGGTTAGGGCGTCGTTCCCTTTTGTAGTGCATTCACGCTTCCATTCAAGCCATAGATGATTCTTCCTTCCCTCTACGCTTCGTAGGCATCATTTCCTCCAGATTTGACTAAGCATGTCGGACCCTGAAGTGCCATCAGCCCCCGTGTCGGTTGTTCGAAGACCGGAGCCATCAGCCCCGCCCACACAGCCGCCGACACAGGAGTAAGCACAACAGCATGTCATCGGGCGGCTCAAACAGCGCAAGTTGTTGGGATGCTGGCTTTGTTTGCAATGACATGTCAGATTGAAGGCTCCCTTCGCCCATCGAGGTCGGTCGACGCTTCTCGTTTGCCTCACCATGTGGCTGGCGGGATGTGACGATCACCTGCTGCCGGCGTCCTTCAGAGCACTGGTAAGTCGTCCACAGCAAGATTTTTTTGCATCATTATCGCCTGTTCTGCAATGATCTGTGCTTCCGATACACCATCCATGTAGGAGTCGGACTTAAAGATGCATCCAACGAAGCTGGCGCTGCTGTCCTTCTCCCAGGCCCTCTTCTTCGCTCTGTCTCTGCCGTTCTGGGGCATCTCAGCTGACCGGTCCCCACGCAACGCCGTGCTGGGCATCGGCTGCATTATGTGGGGCATCATGACCTGCATCTTCGCCTCCTCGTCTGCCTTCGTCCTCATGTTCATCATACGAGCGCTCAACGGCATCGCTCTGGGCAGCGTGCCGCCTGTTGGTACGTCCGCTGGCGCAACGGGGGATGGGATTTGATGGTGGATTGGTGTCTTTGCTATTGATTCAGGCCAGTCCCTTCTGGCCGACATGTATGGCGAGAACGAGAGAGGTATGGCGTTTGGCTGGGCCCACTCTGCCGCGAGTCTCGGCCGGCTGGTCGGCGGCGTGACCACCACCACTATCTCGAACAGGATATATTTCAAGATACATGTACGGGAGTGAGGCAATGCATCCTGCTTGTCTGCCAGTCTGCTGCATAGAGTCGATGATGTCCTCTTGCGCAGGGTTGGCGGCTCGCCTTCTTTGCCGTTGGGCTGCTGTCTCTGGCCATGGGAATTGCAATATGGTTCCTCCTGGAGGAGACGCAGTGGCACAAGCACCCAGCCCTGAGGAAGAGACGGCGGATGGGCTCATTCAACTCGCGCACCACGCCCCCCTTGTCGAGACGGCAGTCGGTGCTGGAGTCGTTTGCTGAGGTCATGAACACGGAAGGGGACACATTTACGGGATTCGCCAGATACCTCCGGGTGCCCAGCGTGCTCCTCTTGCTATCACAGGTTAGGAAAGAAATGCTTCCAGACCTGCCAGCCTGCCTTTGTCACGTGCTCCCCTTTCTCTTGATCCATTGACAGGGGATCTTCGGCAACATTCCATGGTCAGCCTTTGCCTTTCTCACGATGTATATCCAATACTGCGGTGTGCCCGACCGGATTGCCGCTCTTTGTATGTCCGGCGGGCTGCTGGCGGCCGCATGCGGCGGCTTCATCGCAGGCCCCATCGGCGATCGCCTTTACTCGTGGTCAGAGGACCACGGCAGGCAGTACGTCGCCCAGCTGGGTGTGCTCATCAAGGTGCCTCTCATCACGCTGTTCTTCACCCTGCCCCGCGAGCCATCGTCGGCGCCTTACTTCATCTTGCTCACTATCCCCATCGGCTTCTCCACTGCATTTGTCGGCTCGGCTGCCATTCAGCCAATCTTGGCGACACTGGTCGAGACACGATTCAGGGGAACAATTTTCTCCTTGGTCAGTCACGCGTGCGGGGGTAAATGAACGCAGTGGCCATCCGTCCTCTTACCTTTTTTCTGTCGCTGCAGGTCGGTGCATGTGATGTGGCTGTGGGGGCTTTGCTGGGTGCGCCACTGGTTGCGTTTCTATCCGAATACGTCTTCGGGTGAGAGCCTGGGAGATGGTAGAAAAGATACCCCAACGCACATGCTCCCCCCTTCTCCCCCCTTCTCTTCGCTCCTTGTGCAGCTATGTCCCTACCGATCAGAAAGTATGGGAGATGTCCGACGAGTTTCGACTCCAGAACGCCGGGTGCCTCGCCCAGGCCTTGCTGTGCACCACGGCCATCCCCTGGAGTATCTGTTTCTTGATCTTCTCGGGGCTGCACATGACGGTGCCGCGAGACAGGAAAAAACTGCAGGAGACAAGGGCGGCGCGGTTCGCCGAGGCCAATGGCAAGGCTGGGGATGCGGAAGCCGCTGAGGGCGAGACGTTCACCAGTCCCGAAGTGAGATGGATGCGACCGAGTGAGCGGACACCACTTGTGCGGAGATGAGAGGTGCAGATGGGGGTGTGGGTGTGTCGGTGGGTCGGTGAATAAATGGGGGGTGTCCATCTTGATAACGCGAGGTCATTGACATGCGTGCATATTGCTCATCTGATCTCGTGGATCTGTTCACTCATCAGATGGACACTTTTTCCCTAACGTTCACACGCCCTACAGACCATCAATCACCATGTCGTCAAACCAAAACCAGACACAATCAATCCTCACCCCACCACCAGAGACGCCAACAGCCCTACTCCCTATGCACATGATCATCACTCGCTGACGTGACGCCCTATCGACTCGACTCTCTATCTGTCCTTGTCAGCCTTCCATGCTCTCCTCTGCACACATGTCTCCTGGCTCCTCACCCTGTCTCTCGGATAGGTGTAGTGCAGCAACGAATAAAGCACAAAACACACGGCCCAGGGCACGGTCGTGGTGCAGAACAGAGCCTTCCCCAGCGCAGCGGCATTGCGCTCACGCAACCGCTCGTCCATGTCGGCTATTTTCTGCGTGGTCTTCTCGTAACCAAAGACGTTTTCGGATAGAATTCCGACCAGTGGGGCCCCCAGCAAGGCTGCGGCCGTGATGTCACATGCAGAGCACTGAACGCACACACGTACATACATACAACGGACCCGCGCTGCCTTCTTTTCGTCTGCCTGGCCGATTGATACGCACCCATGAGAAGACAGTAGCCCTGTAATCGCTCTGCACGACTTCTGCGAGCAGCGGCCTGATGACGGCCACCCCCGCCCAGCCGGCGGAGATGCCGATCATCAGCCCCAGCAGCACGAACCATGGGAGAGAGGTTGGCTGGCGTGGGATGAATAGCAAGAGGATGCACGACGCAGGCACCTTGATAGCAATGCCTATCTGGCCTGAAATGCGCAGATCGACACACGAAACGGCCGCCACCACACTCGTGTGTCTCAGGATGCTTTTTTGGCTACCAAGGTATATTCTGCCATGGTCGGCCGAGAGTTTGTAGAGCATGTCGCCGAGGTATCCCCCCAGAGGTCCTGCCGCAGCGGCGGTCATGAGGACGGCGCCCAGGACGGCCGCGGCCACGAAGTCCTCCAGACGGCAATACTGGAGGAACATCACGATGAACGAAATCGCTGACCATGGGATATGCGAAAACATGCCCTGAATGGGTGCGCACGGCCGCACATCTCATCTACACACACGTGTGTTGACACTTATCTACCTCCCCAACATACATACCTGAATAACGATTACACAAATTGTCGGCAAGCGAAAGTAGGACAAGGCCTCGGCGAGCCTGTACTGCGTCGGCCGTCTGGGCAGCTGCTGGCTCCCATCGCCTTCGTCACCTGGCGCACTGCCCTCATCGTGTGCAGCAGGAATGGATGGCGGCCGTGAGGGCAGCTTCCGGTGAGGGAGAGTCCTCCGCGGCACGTCGCCAGCACCATGGAGATCATCAGCCCCACCAGCAGACTCAGAATGCCCACCGATGCAAACGCCACACGCCAACCCTGTGGGCACAGACGAGACAGGCATATAGACAAGCAGACAAAGACGGGTTATCATCTCCTCGCGCCTGTGTCTCTGACTGAGTCTTGTTACATGCGTTCCCATGATGTTGAGGTTTGATATGGAAGTGGTGTATACGCCCCCCACCAGCCGCCCGATGCACTGCGACAAGTGGATGAGCCCAAAGGCCAGTCCGTAAGAGTCCCTCTGGAATATGTCGCTCAGCAGCGACTGTGTGATGGGCGAGACAGAGGCGAGCGCCACGCCATTGAGCGCCCGCATCAACAGAATGGCCCACAGGTGGGCAATGGTCGCCAGCGCCAAAGTTGTGACACCCCAGCACATGCACCCTGTTGCCAGCACGATCGGCCGTGAGTGTGTGTCGGCCAGCGTGCCCGAGAGGGGCGAGAACAAGGCGAAGCACAGCGTCTGGACAAGCGCGATGGTGCCGAGAGTGGCCGGCCCGAATTGCAGGTCGGTCTCCAGTGCTTTGAAGGACGCGGGCAGGAGTTGGTCGTCGCATGAGTCGAGTCCGGCCGTGATGTAAAGGAAGAAGAGTGAGCGGAAGGCCACGTGGCGGCGAGGAGACGTCGGCTGTGTGGACGGCGGACCTCTCTGGACGACCCTCAGGCTGGACTCCAGCAGCAGTGGGGCAGCTTCCACCTCCTCTGCTTCGGCTGCTATCATCTCAATGGCATCACCTGGCTTGCACTACACCGCTGCAGCCCTGAGAGCACACATGTGGACACGTCACTTCCTGCCAAGTTCCTGCAACGCCATGGCTGCAACGCTTCCCTTCTGCAGTGGGGCTCACCTCGCACTGGCCTTTCTTCACGGCTGCGAGGGTGCAGAGATTCATACGGCATCTGGCGGGCTTCCTCCGGCCTTCTGTCACCATCATAGCGGCCCGATTTGGGGATCCTCCTACAGTGCGAGCTTAGCGAGCGTTGAGGGGGGCCGGCAGTGTTATTGGATGGCTGTTTGTTCCCAATGAACGCAAACCACGCCGCATGCACCCCCTCCCGTCTGTTTGTTTGTCTGTCTGTCTGTCTGCCTGCCTGTCTGCCAGTTGCTCTCTGGACACTGCACCAGCACCTCCGTCAGAAGGCCGCTAGTAGATACAGACACGCAATGCCATCTGGCTGGCTACGCAAAAGGAGCGGCAGGCCTCACCCACTCTCTGGACGCCACGGACACAGGCAAGCCACACACACACACACACCAGCACGCATTTATGCAAATGCACATACGGACCGGACCTCCCTTTGCTTTCGTCTCCTCTGCTTACCCGTCCTGATCGTGTCTTGGTCGAGTGACGATGCCTCCCCTGACCCAGTAGGGCCTAGGTGAGGGCAGCCGTGGCGAACCGGCCCCGTGCACCACACGCTCGCCCTCCATATCGCCCTCATCCAACACACGCACTGGAGGCGCCGAACGGGCGCGGGAATCCTTCAGAGGCATTCACACACATGTACAAGAATGACCTGCAGGTCGGTCGGTGTGGCATACCGTGTGTGGCACGGTCGGGCACGGGTGTGGGATGGGTGGCGAGGCGGGGCGCTCCTCCAGCAACCTGCATACACAGAGGGGAAGAGAGAGACCAGCCAATATGGCCGATTGATGCCTGTTTGGTTCGCCCGCTCCCTCGCTCCCTCCCTCGGTCGCTCACTGGTCAAGGTGTTGTATGTGTTTGGTCCTCCAGTTCTGCTGGTCGGATTTCCACCGCTGCTCGACGGCAAACAGACGGTCGCGACACGCACCTGATGCGCAGCCACCATGAGAAGGGCAGGTCTCCTTTGTGCGTGTAAACGCCCTGCTGGTGTGTGGCATGCCTACGCAGATCAGTGGACAGCTGCTCGTTGAACTGCTGCAGGTCGCGAAGCTGCCTGCAACCACACAAAGAGAAGGAAGAACAGACACACTGAAGGTGTGGAGGAGTAGACGAATTGCCTCCCGCTGCGGGTGAGTATACCTGTGTATGTCTTCTTTCTCAGCGATCCTGTCCTCAACCTCAATCGACATCTGATGCGCCTCACGGCTGAACGGACAGACAGACGCACCCATCCCATCCCATGACATGACATGACATGCCACGCCTCTGCTCTGCCCCTGATCCACCCACCGCGATTTTTCGATCTCGGCCTGGAGTGCGAACACCTGTCGCTGAGACTCCTCATATTGACCCTGCCACTCCTGTCACACACATACACGCATAGATCACACATGCGCGCCGGAGGTGCCGCGTCTGTCTTTATTGGTCCATGCAGCGGACCTGGACGATCTCGTCGTGTCGGTTGACCTTGTCCGCCATGACTGCGTGGTCGCTCTGCAGACGATCCATCTTGGCACGAACCTGCACGTGGACGAGCAATGAATGCAGCAAGACGCAATTCATGAACAGTCGGTCGTTGGCATGAGGGAGGGGCATGCGGACCTGTGTTTTGAGTTCTCCCCTCTTCTCCCGCTCGCGGCGGAGCTGCTCCTCCAGCGAGTGATGCAACTCACCTGATGCACTCAATCATGGTCGGTCAGCCAGGAACACAAGCAGAGACCTATACACACGGGCTGGGTGGGGTCCTTTCCTCATTTTTCTCGTGTGCTGTGTACCCATTCCCCTCAGCGATCGCCTGAATGAGTCGTTGCGCTCCTCGGCAGCAGCGCGGCTCTCGTCCAACGCTTTGACCTGACACGAGATGTCATATGAAAGGCGCGTGTGTGCAGTAAGTGACGGTTGTGGCATTTTTCCTGGTCACCTGTTTTTCCTGGTAGTCTCGTTCGCTCTCCAGCTGGTTGATCCGATCGTGCAGACGGTTGATGGTACGACACTGATGCACACACGCAGGCAGGAAAGCAATTGACGGCGACACATGAGCTGCATCAGAGGTGTGCATCCGTGTGTGCGTGTGGTTGATCCTGACCAGGTCCTTGCGATCCTTCTCCGACCTCTGCAGCTTCTGCACCTCGTCATCGGTCTTGTCGCCCATCTGATGCACACACGCAGACATGCAACGCACACGACACGCGACACACACAGGGATGGGCTGACCTCTTTGATGGTCTCCTCGAGCTCCTTCTTGGCTTTGCGCTCTGCAGACAGCTGCTTCATCAACGTCTGCACACACACACACACACACGCAATCACGGCAATACAGGCAGGCACATGTGCGTGTGTGAGTGACCTGGTTCCACGCCTGCTGGTCCTTGAGCTGCTTGGCGGTGGACCTCAGCTCGCTGCCCTTCTGACGCAGCTGACGGTCCATGCTCTCCATCTTCAACTGCATTATCAACAACACAAGACAGCACACAGAAGCACACAAATAAAGGCATGCATGGGTGAGTACTGCAATCCATCCATGCACGTGTCCAGAGCGTATTGTGCGTACCTCGAGCTGGTTGACTCGCTCATACCACCACCTCAGCTCGTTGGAATTCATCAGCACAGGCCCCTCAGGCATGCCCTCGCCTCTCCCGCCATCAGCCATGCCGTCATCGTCCTCGAGGCGCTCAATTTGTGGTGACATCCTGGAGCTGGCAGTGCGAGGCCGCGTCAGCGTCGCGCCTGTCCGGGGCGGCGGTCGGGGAGGGCTGATGGGCTGCGACGGCGGCTGCGCGGGCCGCGCAGCGAAGCGAGGCGGCCTGGCACCCGGCCGATAGTCCAGAATCATGGGTCACTGGATGACCTCGAAACAATGCTGCATGCACGGAACAATCAATGCGTGGCTGAGGATAGTCCAGCGGGGAGTCCGCTTGCTGTGCCAGCCTCAGCGACTGATGCGAGCTTGGAAAAGGGAGCTCGCGGAGATCTCACCCACGTGGCTCTGAGGCATCATGGCTCAGCCTCTGCGTTCCCCCTTCTCACACCCCGGCGCATCAAGCGGCCCGCCTCCCGGGCCAAGCCAGCCCTCTACCGTCAGCACCCTAGGCAGCGAGGCCCCGGGAGGAAATCCATGGTACTCAGCGTCACAGTCTGCAGGCGGCAGCAGCGTATATCCTGCAAGCGGCGGCATTGGTGGCGGCATGAGTGGGCCGTTGTCACACAGAGGGCTGGGGTCGACAGAGAGGGGAGCTGCGGGCGAGGATCTGTCGTTCTACGGATCTGGATTTGCGCGGGTATGCAGACAAGAAAGATGGCAGGGAGGCAGGCCGAATCAGTGATCTGTGTGTGGTTGGGACGTTGGGATGTTGGTCATCAGAGCGGGAGCATGGACCAAGGCATGGGCGGCGGCGGGATGGGCAGCATGGGTCCGATGGGCGCTGTGGGAGGTCCTGAGGAGGAGGACTTTGTCGACGAACCGCCGCTGCTAGAGGGTAAGGTCGATCACTCGCGATGATGGAACCACCAAAGCAGACATTGTGCGTCTGTCCACGGGCATTGCACATGCACTGTTGGTCAGAGTTGGGCATCAACCCTGAGCACATCTTCAAGCGAATCAAATCCGTCCTTCTCTTCCAAAAGTATGCAGACATACACCCAGCTTGCGTGTCATGTCCATGGCACATCTATGCGCTGCTTGTGTGTTCAGGTTGGATCACGACCTACTGGTCGATTGTGACATGTGTGGCCCTCTGGTGATTGCACTAGCACTGGGATTCTGCCTGCTATTCGTAAGCCGTCAGAACATGCGGCAATGCACTCAACGCCTCCCTTCTCCCCTCGTGTGTGTCAGTCTGGTAAGATCCACTTTGGGTACATCTACGGCTTGGGCATCACTGGCTGTCTGGGGACCTACCTGCTGCTGAACCTCATGAGCCAGGTACGTCAACAGGCACAGAGGCCGATCGAGACAGAGGGAATACATGGCCGCTGGCCATGTCTGTGTGTGTGGCAGAAAGAAGCGATCGATGTGTTCCGGACGGCCAGCATTTTGGGTGAGCGCTCACGTGGAATGATGTCCACATGTTCTGTCTTTCTTCTGCCCGCATTCACGTGTGCAGGTTACGGTTTGCTGCCTGTTGTTGGATTGGCCGCCATCTCCATCATCTTCTCGCTAAGGTGACTCGCACACGCTCCACTGCGCCCTTTCGTCGGCTGACGAGTGTGTGGTGTGGTGCGGTGTGGTGTGTGTCAGGGGCACGTTGGGTACAATCTTGTCTCCCCTCTGCATCATATGGTGCACGGCGACAGCATCCAGATTCTTCGAAACGGTCAGTCGACACACGACACCCCATAAGGAGCAGCCGGCGCTAATACCTGTTATTGCTTGTGTGCATGCAGGCGCTACTGATGCACCACCAGCGGTACCTGGTGGCCTACCCCATCTGCCTCCTCTACACCTGCTTCGTCCTCATCACCGTTTTCTGAAGAGCAGTTACTCGACACGGACAACGACACAGACAGACGATGTGTGCAGCTGGTTGGTGCGACCGGTGTTTTCGTGGCGTGGTGTGGATATTCGTGAGTGGCTGACTCACTAGCTGACAGACTCACTGACTGACTGATCATGACTGGCTGGGCCCGTGGCTGGGTGTGCATACGTTCCTGCGCTTCTTGTGCTTCATGCTAATTCATCAGCTGCCATGTGCGTGATGCGACCCAGACAGCACAGAGTCAAGTTCATTGCACGACCAGTATCAGTGCGCCAACGGCCAAGCCTACCGCCCAACGACCTCGTTCACACACTGTAGGAGCGGATCGACACGCTTACGAAGTGAATTTACAGATCGATCGGAATCGCGCTGCCATTTTTCTGTTTTTTCCTCGGTCAGTTCGCTCGTCTGCTTCGGTTCCTTGTCTCGCTCGGCTTAGACTGATATTTCTGCTGAGTGATTGACTGAAGGCGTCCGTCCGTCCCTCACTCATTGCTTTGCTTGTTGGTGAGATGACGGATCCGAGCGGTGCGGTGGTGCGTCCTTCCTTCTGTTCACTGGGCAATTCGGTCGACGCCCACACCAACCTGTTCAACCTCAAGGTGGACGAGTCGGTCAAGATCCAGGTGTACGCCGTCAACATCACGCCGCCCATCACCAATGTCAGCGAGGTGCGCAAGGTCATCTACAACGCCCAGGAACCGGTACTGTGACACACACGCACACACAGAGAGGGATGATGGGATGAATGGAGGGGTGTGATGGATGGTGTGATGTGGTGTGGTGTGTGCAGATTCTGAACGCGTTGGTTGCTGATGGTGCGAAGGTCGGGGCCATTCTGCATCAGGGCATGAATGTTTTCGTGACCTTGCCGCACAGCCTGACGCCCAACCAGACCGTGTCGGTCGACTCAACCATCCAGGGCAACTCGCAGACGGTAAATAAGTGACACACACTCACACAGACAGATCGACGGGAGGGGAGGTTGGGGATGGATGGATCGGCCCATCCGGCCATGTCATTGGTGTGTGGTGTGGTGTGGTGTGCAGTTTTCGGTTCAGTTGGCGTTCAAGCACGACCTGGTGCTGCGCGGTGACGACTTGTCGCAGGAGGCCATCCAGTACATGAACGTAGCCCTCAAGAAGGCTCTGGTGAGTCGGTGACCCACACCAACCACATCACATACACACACATGAATATCTCTCCTGTTTTTGTGTGTGTGTGTGTGTGTATGTATGTGTTTCAGGGCCAGCTGCACATGGACTTCATCGGGCGTCACGGGTTCCTCACCAACATGTGCAGCGAGCGTGCGCCCGAGCAGCTCAGCAGAGTCAAGTACGGGCCCAACAATAGCAAAGAGATGCTCCTGCTCCCAGGTGACACACACACACACACACAGATGGATGGATGGATGGATGTGTTGTCTTGGTTTGCTTGGTTGGTTGTCAGGTTACTTCACGTCCATCCAGCAGATTGGCAAGTCCCTCTACCTCCAGGCCGACCTCACGCACCGCATAGTCCACAACGAGACGCTGCTCGCCGTCATCCAAAACGAGCAGGTTTAATCAACACACCACACCACACTCATCCTTCCATCCCATCATCCCTCTGTGTGTGTGTGTGTGGGTAATGCAGCGAGGTTTCAGTCGAACGGGAACGTTGACCTTCGAAGAACACATCAACGATAAGTACAAGGGCCGTCGCGTCATGACTCATACGTACGCACGCACAAAGTGCACACACACACACACACACACACGTCTGTCCGTGTGTTTGTATGTGTGTGTGCAGGAGTCGGGGCCTGCCAACAACCGCAGCAGATCGCTCTACTGCATCGACAGAGTAGAGCACACCACACCCAGCGAGACAGCACACACACGGCAATTCACTTGTCTCTCTCTCTCTCTGTGTGTGTGTGTCTATGTGTGTGCCAGATTGAGTTTGACGAGACGCCTGAGACCAAGTTCGTCGATTCGAGCGGCAACGAGACCTCCATAGCCGAGTACCTCCTGACTCGTTATGGGGTCGAGTGCCAGCCCCGCCAGCCACTCGGTCAGTCTGTCAGTCTGTCAGTCTGTCAGTGTGACCCACACACACGTCTGTCTGTCTGTCTGTCTGTCTGTGTGTGTGTGCAGTTGTATCTGAGCGTCGCAAGAAGGTCACCAACAGCGAGGGGAAGCGTGAGGAGGTCGTCATCCGCACCATCAAACTCCCCGTGCAGTGCGTCACGCTGACCGGACTCGACGAGTGAGTGTGTGACCCCCTCCCACAGACCCACACACACGCACACACACACACACACACACATCGCGGGCTGTCTGGCATCGCATCCCTCTCTGTGTCTCTGTGTATGGTCAGTACGATTCGCAACGACCACTTGATCAACGATCTAGTTGGCAAATCGTGCAGAATGACTCCTGGTGGGCGAGAGAGACCACACGCACACACACGCAGAGAGAGAGAGGCCACATCTATCCATCTCATGGATGAATATGTGTGTGTGTGTGTGTGTGTGTAGACGATCGTCTGAAGCGTGCTCATCGGTTCGTCGAGGTGCTGCGTGACAATCCCAACGCCAAGGCCGTGCTGGACCGCTTCAAGCTCGAGATATGCGACGCCAAGGAGAAAGTCACGGGCAGAAAGCTCAACGACGGAGACAACGTCAACTCGTTCCGCGTACACCCACACCGCACCCACACACTCACACACACAGCGCCACAGACACGTGTGTGTGTGTGTGTGGTCAGTACTACGACCGCCCCAACACGCTCGAGACGCTGAAGGCGCCGAGGAAGGGCAAGAACGAGGACACACTCAAGAACAGTCAGCGACACAGCCACACACATGGATGGATGGATGGATTGGTGGGTCTGTGTGTGTGTGTCAACCATTTACAAGGTGGCAATGCTTTGCGCGGCGACTCGTTCAACTTCATTCCCAAGGGCTGCCTCAAGCCTATCAAGCTCGAGAAGTGGGTTGTGCTGGCCGACAAGAGCGACGCCCAACAAGCGCAGAAAATGGCGCGTGACATCTACAATGCTGCATGTGGTGTGTGTCCACACACACGCCCACCAAGCCCACTCATCTCATGTGTGTGTGTGTGTGTGGATGTGTGTGTGTTTAGCACTCGGCATGGGCGACTGGGAGGCGCCCAAGTGGCTGATCAACCAGTCGCTGAGCGCCATGTTGGCCGACCACCAGACCCTCGTCAAGGAAATCAGCGGAGCGCAGTGCGTGGTCTGCCTCCTCCCCAACTCCAAAGGGAAGACAACAAGCGTCACACAACTCTACAACGTATGTAACCAAACCACAGCACACACACACCACAGACACACACACAGAGAGAGAGAGAGAGAGAAACGACGCGACTGTGTGCGTGTGTGCGTGTGTGTGTTTAGGGGTTGAAGCAGCTGCTGACGTGCGAGGGCAGCCAGTGTGCGTGTGTGGCGCAGTGCGTGCAGAGCAAGACGCTGGCCAGCAACAAGTGGCAAACAGCCTGTCAAAAGGTCGTCCAGCAGGTCAGGTCAACCAACACACACATCCATCCATCCATGTGTGTGTGTGTGTGTGTCTGTGTGTAGATCGTGTGCAAGGTGGGCGGCGCTGCGTGGGGGCTCAACGTCAAGGGGCGCAAGCCCTTGATGGCCATCGGCGTCGACTCGCGCAAGAGCAAAGGTCAGTCAGTGAGTCGAGGCCACACAAACAAAGGACAGAGACAGACAGACACGTGTGTGTGTGTGTGTGCAGATTCGACGATCGTGTCGCTGTGTGCAACGGTCGACGACCTTTTCATCGAGCACTTCACAAGTAAACCACACACAGCCGCACACACCCCTCTCCCTCTCCCTCTCTGTCTGTCTGTGTGTGTGTGTGAAAACAGTGTCGCAGGTGTACTCGTCTGAGATGGACCTGGCCGGAGCATTCACCAACTTCATCTCTCGTATCCACACACATCACAAGCCCACACATCACATCCACAGTGCATCTCTCTCTCTGTGCATATAATCAAATCAGGTGCGTGTGAGACGTTCGAGCAGCGCAACAACATCGGCGTCAAGCGCATCGTCATATATCGGACGGGCCTGGGCGAGGGGCAGAAGGTCGCTGCAACCGAGTACGAGATTCCCGCCATCAAGACCGGCCTCGAGCAGGCCTGCGGCGACAAGCAACCAGAGCTCGCCGTCATACTCACCACACAACAGACCAACACCGGGCACACACACACACACACACGGGCACACGGAGAGAGCGAGGGAGAGGGAGAGAGACACCAACGTGACTCTCTCTGTGTGTGTGTGTAGGTTCGCCACGGCAAAAGGCAACCAGCTGTCCAACCCCCCGCCCCTCTCCGTCTTCGACAAAGGTAAATCAGCGAGTGGGGGCTGAGGTGACTGCTGTGTGTGAGTGGAGTGTGTGGGTGGATTGCAATCAGGTGTTGCCGACGACGCTCTGTACGTCTGGTACGGCTGCCATCAGCAGGTCACGAGCGGCACCATCACACCCACCAAGTGAATGACCACCACACACACACAGACACACAGACAGAGAGGCGGAGAGACACGCTCTGTGTGTGTGTGTGTGTGTTTGCTCTGCCTGTGTGTGTGGAACCAAACAAACAAACAGGTATGAGGTGCTGCACATGGATCGCTGGGGCCTCGACGTCGACCAAACAATCAACCTGACCATGCAGCTCAGCACCATGTACCAAAACTGGAGCGGTCAGCAACCAACCAATCAATCAGTGCCACACACAGACACACACACACCCTCTCTCTCTCTCTCTCTGTGTGTGTGTGTGTGTGTGTGAATGTCTATCGGTCAGGTCCGATTCGTGTGCCAGCGGTGGTCAAGATGGCCGAGGTGTGTGCTCGCAAGGTGGCTGAGAATCTGCAGCTCAAGACGCCCACAGACGCCCTCGCCACCTTCCCCTGGTACCTCTGAGCCTGAGCCAGCTGCCCTCACACAGACAGACCGACCGACTGACACAGACAGACAGTCTGAGACTGTAGAGTAGATCGAGGAGTAGACGACACACTGACTGACTGGATTCATGGACAAATTCATGTTGACTGAATGAATGGCCGGATGGCGATGTGAGGCAAATCGGATCTCAATCCATCCATTCATCACTCAGACGAGTCCGCACATATCCATCCATTCATCGCACGAACTCGCAGAGGAAACACACGCCGATATCCAGTCCACAAACACGCCACACAATCTCTCTCTCTCTCTCTGTCTCTCTCTCTCTCTCTCTCTCACACACACACACACACACACAAGGCCGACGAGCCAATTGGCGCTCTGCGCCGCCCAGCGCAACAAACAGCGCGAGCCACCACAGCCAGAACCACCAACCACCAGGTACCTAGACCACACCGACGACCTACGAAAAAGGGTCTCTCTCCCCGCCAGCACCAAACGACAAATACACGCCTCCCTTCAATTCCATCACACTACTCTATCTACGGGCTCGGTCACTTGCCAAGCCATCATCTCCCCTTCCCCTCCCTCCCTCATGACGATGTGATAGTTCCTCTCCCTATATCTGCCGGGCAGCCTCTTCCTCGACAGCGTCGTGTCCATGTGCAGATGCTTCCGCAGAAGAATGTGCGGGGGCAGCTGCAGGGCATCGGGGTCGGCCGTGATGATTTCGCTACTGCCGTTGTGGCTGTGGGTGTGGGGGAAGGACTCATGTCTGCCTTGGGCGATCATCTCGAGCAGCGCGCAGTAGCAGGCGGGCGTGTAGTGGTGCGGGAACCTCGGCAGAGCCGCCAGCTCCTGAAACGGACACCACAGACAGACAGACAGACAGACAGAAAGCAGGCACATGCGAACACCCGTGTGTGTGAGTATCTGTGCAATCAATCAACTATATATACCGCATGCGAGACCTGCCCCTTGAGGACGGCGATTATAGCCTTGGCCTGCACCTCCATGCAGAAGAAGAACCCGCCGGTCCCAAATGGCAGCCCCACGAAGAACAGGCTGGCTGGGTGGCTCTTGTGGAACACGTGCAGGTGGAGGGCGTCAAACAGGCACTGTGGGTCATCCGCTGTGCCCGACGGGATCAGCCCGCTCCCGGGAGCGAAGAACGGGAAATCTGAATGTCGTACGTACAACACAACACCACAATAAATAATAGTGTGCCGTGCCGCAGTGGCCTGCTCGTTTGTACCCACCATACCGTATGTGTATCCCGTCGCCCATATGACGGCATCGATTGTGTCGGTGCTGGTGACCAGCCGCCCGTCGCTCCCCACGCTGATGTACCGGCCGTCCTCCTCGACACCTTCAGTGCGGCCCACCAAACGCACGTTGGCTGGCAGCTTGGCCGCTAGGTCAGCCGCTGTGTCGGCGTCTGTGAATTGCGTGCCCGACCACACAACGGTAGTCGCGACGCTGCTGAGCTCCCACACCAAATCTGCCACACACGAGAGGAGGGACAGGGAAAGAACGACCTAGATGGACAGGCGCCTCTGATATGACTGTGGGAGGTTCATTCACGTATGGGCGTACCCGATCCCGACCAGCTGCCGCCGACCACAAGCACCCGCTGGTTGGCGTATGCTGACGGCTCGCGGTAGTATTTCGAGTGCGTAGACGGCCCACGAAACCCCATCTTTATCAGTCTCGGATACCGCGGCTTGTTGTAACGCCCATTCGCCACCACTAGAGCGTCGTACAGCCGCTCCTCGCCGTTGATCCGCCAGCCGCCCTCCACCGCTGCGCCTTCCCTGCCAGCTGCCACGTACTCGGCTGAGTGGACAGTCGTGTTGAAGGCAATCGAGTCACGGAGGGCGAAGCGGTCGGCGTATGCCTGCAGGTAGCTGAGCACGTCTGTGTGCTTGATGAAGGAGGGCAGGGATGGGTCGAAGGGGACGTCGCTGAAGCCCATGATCTCCTTGGGTATGTTGGTGCTAAGCGAATCATACATGACCGAGCGGTCGCCGTACACCCATATGCCGCCGACCTGACCCAATGACTCCAAGACGCGCACAGCGAAGCCGGCGTCACGGAGATGCCGGGCTGCCACAAGCCCACCTGCAACAGGCAAAGAAAGATACAGACAACACGACACGGGCAGACAAACAATTCCAGAGCATACCTGCTCCGGCGCCAATCACGGCGACACTCTTCCGATGGTCAATCACATCAATGGATTGGGCCACAAGGGCAAGAATTGAATGCCTCGCAGAAGCGGCGGTTTGGCTCGTGCGCTCCTCCTCTTCCATTTCCCCATGCGAGCTCAAAGAAAGAAGGTGGCGGAAGCTTCTGCGTAAAGATGCTGTGGTTCGCCGGGCTGGCCTTGCTCGCAGCGTGCATCCGGTGCGCTTCGACGGAAGTTCGGCCTTCTTTCACGCCTCCGAGCAGACCCTCCAGGATTGGGAAATCGATGGGACACCAAAGCCCTGAGATCCGAGGTGAGGGAAAGATGGATGCCTTCATCGTACGCGTCAGTCATTGGCATCTCTTTCTTGTGGTCCACCAGGCACACCGTTCCCTGGCAAGATGGATGCTGCGTTTGGTTGGCTGATGGAGGACCACGACACGGCTCCCAAACCATATGCCTATCGGCGGCTGACGAGATCCAGATCGAGCACCATCGACACTGTCGCTGAGCCGCTCAACACGTACAGCAGCACCGCCGTGCGGTCGTACATTGAGGAGGGCCCTCTGTTCCACCTCGTCGCCCCAACGGTCGGTTCCCTGACCGATGAGCTGCCGCAGTGGATGGACAGGGGCAAGCTGCTGTCAGACGACCTGGGCTACGAGTGGTCGGCCCTGTCGACCGCCCAGGCAGCCCGCATATTCCACTACTACCTACCGGTCTATTTTTGGATCCACAGCTTCTGCAAGCGCAAGAGGGAGGCGGGTGGATTGCAGATGACGGCGGCTCCAGCGGCCCCGGCCCCTTCAGGTGGGGATGTCGGGACGGCAGGCCGGCCGATGAAGGGCGAGGGGGCCCTTTTGGTGGGCTTCAGTGCGCCGCAGGGGTGCGGCAAGACCACACTCGTCACGTTCCTCAAGGTCAGTCGGTCAACAGACAGACGAACAGGCATAAAATGAGAGCGAGTGGCACTCACTCTTTGTTTGTTGTGTATCTATCTATCTTGTGTGTTGGCACCAGACTCTCTTCGAGCAGGAGGGCCTCACGTGCACTGTCGTCTCCATCGACGACTTCTACCTCACTGGCGAGGAGCAGGAGCAGCTCGCCAGAGCATACCCCGACAACCCACTTCTCAGGTACTTACGCAATCGCACACGCCGGCCACACGCAGCTCAGCTCACACCGATCCACTCCTTCCTCTTGTCTGTCTGTCTGACGTGCAGGTATCGCGGCAATGCGGGCAGCCACGATCTGCCGCTGGGTCGAGACACTCTCATGCGGCTGCAGAGCGCCAAGAAGGGCACGAGTGTGGCCGTCCCTCGCTACGACAAGTCGCTACGTGAAGGCAGGGGCGACCGGGCCCCTCAGGGGCAGTGGCCGACAGTCGAGGGGCCGGTGGACGTGGTGCTCTGTGAGGGCTGGATGTTCGGATTTCCGCCGCTGAGTGACGACGACCCAGCTCTCGACGGCGACCCCAACCTCCAACTCGTCAACAGGTGCGGTGCACGGGGGGCCTCTTGTGAGTGGTGGCATGGGTCACCTACCTTTCGCTAAAAGGGAATGGCCCCTCTTGTGTGTGCTGCCTGTCTTTGTGTGTCGTTCAGACTACTGCGAGGCTATGAGCAGTGGGACGAGCTGATGGATGCGTGGATTGCCATCCAGGTAGTCAGTCATATGACTCAAACAAAGGCAGCCATACGCACGAGCCGTCTCAGACAGCGTTGTGTGTGCTGTGTGTTGGTGTCATCAGATCGGCGATCCCAAGTGGGTTTACGACTGGCGGCTGGAGCAAGAGCAGTAAGACAAGGGCACCACACACGGCAGGCATGCATCTCGCCCACCTGTCTGTCTGTGTCTTCATTATTCCCTCAGGGCGATGAAGAGCTCCGGCAAGCCCGGCATGACCGACCAGCAGGTGGGCGACTTCGTCGACCGGTTCATGCCAGCGTATCGCGCCTACCTGCCTCACGTCTACTCCAACGGCTGGAAGGCCGACAGGCCCGTGCTGCGCGTGCAGATCGACAAGTCGAGGTCGCCCATCCCCCTGGCAGACACTCCCACCCCCCAGCTGCTCAAACAGTACTTTAACAAAGAGGTGTGAGCGTGTGACGGGTGGGAGGGAGGGAGGGAGGGAGGGAGGGGTGGGTGGTGAGTTTGTTGATGGGTGGGAAAAAAAAGAGAGAGAGAGAGAGAGAGGGGCGCTGAGCTTTTCGCTAGAGGCGGCGAGGCGTGGCACCTATCTATTGTCTTGTTGTTGTACAGCAAAGGCTGTGATCTTTCTGGTGAATGCAACATTTTGAATCGATCAGCGACTTCATAATTCATTCAGTGCCGATTCGTGTGTGGATGAATGTGATGTGGAGGGGCCTCGCCGCGCATACAGGCGGGACACGTAGTGTACAGTAGCAAAGAAGGTGAGGAGTGTTTTTGAGTCTCTCAGCAAGGACAGAGAGCGATTTTTTGTGTAGGCTGTTGACTGATTGATTGCTGACCGACACGGATGGACGGACAGTTGATCGATACCTTCCACACTTGAAGTGCTGATATCCCCCTCCCGGGCAGCTTATTCCTGTTGATGCAGACAATCCTTTCTCACGTAAAGTATTGCATTGAAACGGAAGCAGACATGGCAGTGCAGTGCAGTCGTAGGCAATGTATCGTCACCTGCCTCTCTCCCACGGCACACCCCAGCGCAGTAAGGGAGAAAAATTGGGGGAAAAGACGCTTGAACAAATGGTGCATGAAGCGGAGCAAAAATACTCATCCATCCATCCATGCATCCCGTGCTTATACACACGTGTGGGTACAAGTGCAGTGTGTGCCATGCCGAGTGTAAGTATACGAACAGACGAGCTGCTTCGCCCGTGCCATCCACTGACGATCAATCAATCACTCCACCCACCACCACCACCCACCGACCCCCCCACACACACCGCGCCCACGCCCCTTTTGCTGGTCCCTATATCTCTTGTTTTCTCTCTCATCCCCCGTCTCATGCCAGCTGCTCGCTCCCCACCCTCTGGCGGCCCATGACGCCCGCCCCGCCGCCCCCAAGCCCTATGGCAGAGTTCCTCCGCTGCACGGCAAGGGAGCCGGCAGAGTTGCGGCGGCCTTGCGCCCCAATGGCCAGCATGCTGGCGCGGCGCTGCTTTGTTGTGATGCCAGCGGGGTCCAGGTTGTCGTGGGACGTCTGGATGCCGTACTGTTTCTCCAAATATTCACTGACAGACAAGACACGTACAGGGATGAGATGGGATGCCGGGGGGAAGAGAGGGAAGGGAAGGGAGGGGGGAGACACGAGTGACGGATGGGAGGCGGTGTGTAGGGTGTGTGTGTGTTTGGTGTGTGGACTGGACGTACTCGAAGTCTCCTGACTCTTGGTGGCGCACGTATTCCTTCTCCTTCATCTCGACCTCGCGGCCCTTGAGCTTGCCGCTGAAAGGAAGGCAAGACAGACAGATATTGGAAGGACCATTGACTGCATCGATTTGATGATCCCCGCTAAAGGTTGCTCACTCACCACTCTGCCATCTTGATGAGGTCCCTCTCGTCCTTCTTTCTCAGCGTCTTCTCGGCACACAGGGCCACAGAGCTCTGAAACACACGTCACGCCCACATACAGACAGAGAGAGAGAGAGAGATGAAATGTCTCGTCACACACGGGCAAAATGCTCACCTCGAATCTCAGTTCCGCAGCGTCATAGTCGGCAGAGTACCTAGCCTTCCTAACCCGCTCCTCCATATTCTTCTGCACATTGATGTACTCCACACTGCCCCGCCGTCGATGGGGGTGATCGTGGGGGTGTGCCTCGCCCTCCCTCTGGAACGACATGAAGGCGCCGCTCTCGTCATCATCGGCCACCACGGCGGGCGAGGGCTGGTCGACGCTCGTCAGGTCGTCGATGGAGGCACCCACCAGGACACCCACCTTCGCAAGCTGTCTCAGACAGACAGACAGACAGCCACCACAGTCCGTCCTCCTGGGCGTGGCTGTCTTTTGGCTGTCTAGTGGTTTACGTTTGTGTGGTGTGCGTCACTGGATGCCCCGAACTTGAAGAGGTGCTCGGGGTTGGCCTTGGGGCTCTCGGGGCTGCCTCCCAGCGCCTTCTTGTCCTCCGTGCCTTTCGCTTCCTTCTTGACTGGCATGATGGCTCAAACAGTCGCAGAGAAAGGGGTCAAGACAGGTTAAGGGTACGGCAGAGCGGACTTCTTCCTGTCTTCCTGCGAGCTTGGAATCTTAGCTCGCGTGGATCGGCCTCCTTCCGATGCGTTCTGATACTGATCATGAGAGATCTCGGCTTCTACGAAACGCTGCAGGCGTCGATGGGTCTCGTCATCAATGTTGGCGTCGTGTTGGAGTCGCCTGAACCCATCACGCCATCTGCACTCACGGATGCGCTACGCAAAGCAGGTAGCACGAGCCAGCAGACCAGCCTGCCTGTCCATCTGTGTGAGTCTTTGCACACAGGTGAGCGCCACCCGTTCTTCCGGGCCCGTTTGATCAAGGGTGAGGACAGCAAGTGGCGGCTGGAGGAGAGGGATGCTGCAATGCCGCTTGAAGAATGCACCCATGAAAGCGGCAGGCCCGTGGGTCGGGAGGAGTGGCAGGCCCAATTCCTTCGCTTCGCCGCACTTGTCAAGGGTGGGTGACCAGAGAGCAGATGGTCAAGGTGGTGACGTTGGCGACTTATGTGCATGTGGCATGCTCTTTGGTTGGCAGATTTCTCGGCCTCAACGGTGTTCGCGCAGCTGTGGACCTCGCGCAGCGAATCGTCGCTGATCAGCTGCATTTTCCTATCCATTCACCACTGCTGTAAGTTGGCCACCCATCACCACACCTGGGCAACCTTACCTTGTTGTGGTATGTTTCGTCACCTCAGGTATTGACGGTCCCGGTGCCTTCGCGGCGATGCACGACCTTCTCTCCTTCCTCTCTGACCCCTCGCGTCCTGTGACGCCACTGCCGCTCCGCGACCCATGTGCAGATTTGCCGATCGGCAAGATCCTCTCGCTCGACCCGCCGCCCGTCGCCGTCCTGATGGCGGAACCTCAGATGGCTGCCAAGTGTGAGGCCCCGCTGGCGGCCGATCAGATGGACGTCGCTACCATGTCCGACGATGAGAAGGCAATCAAGGGCAAGTTCATCGCGTTCACACCAGAGGTGCGCAGGGTGGAGTGGGGGATGAGAAGGCGTGGCTGCATTGACGGTGGGGGGGCTGTCTGTCTGTCTGTCTGTCTGTCAGGAGACGACTGAGCTGCTGCAGCGGGCGAGGAAGCACGCGGCGTCTGTCCAGGCCCTTCTGACGGTGGTTGGTCTCATTTCCGTGCACAAAGCCAACCGAGCGATGACTGAGGCAGACCCAGCAGCAGTGAAGCCGACCAAGGCAGTGGCTATGCTGGCGTATCAGGTGAGAAGACGAAACAAGGCGCAGATGCACTCTGTCGACGTGTGGCGTCGTTCCTTGTGTGCAGATGCGCCCTCTGCTGACTTATGACCCTCCAGTCACTTCAGACGAGTGCATTGTCGGCGGTGGGGGCCTCTGGGTGTCGATCGACCTGGCTGACGAGTCCGCTTCTCTGTGGCATCTCGCGGCCGACGTCAAGCGGCAAATCCAAAGCGAGACCGACAGCGATGGTCCATTGCGGTTCTTCCGCCTGTTATTGAACCAGGACCCCTTCCCAAAGACGACTCTCTTTGCCTCATCGATCGGCAAGACGCCTGTCGAGGGCACATACGGCCCCCTGACTGTGCGGGACGCCCTCTTTGTGGGCGGCGCTAACATTCGTGAACACGCGAGACCTAACGTGGCTTTACATGCGTTTGCGGCGGGTGGGCGGATGCACGTGACGGTCAGCTATGGGCCTGGCTATGGAAAGGAGAGAATAGCGAGTTTTGCGAGGTGCGTCGAGGGGGCTCTGAGGGCGTGCATGGAGGGCGATGGGGTCAGAGTGGCTGATGTGACGTTTTGATTGATTCATTGAGTGAGTGGTGGTGGTGGTGCTGATTGGGTTGTGTGGTGGACGTGTTCCATTTGCTGTATGTACAATTGATTGATTGTTCAATGATGACGTGAGTATGCGACACCTGTCCTGAATTCTGCACAGCCACACACAGCCACATCATGTCTATTCACATTCTGCCAGACCCACATCACACAGACGGAGGGCCGTATTCTACCTACAGACACATACACACGCCCTCAATTAACTAATTCCCCCTGCCTCTCTCCCCCCCTCTCTGTCTACACGTCCGCCCCAAATAAGGATTGTGCAGCGTCCTGGCTGCTCGCACTGGTGTTGCTTTCGTCCTCCCCTCCCCCTTCCGCCCTCGTGTCGCTGTCGCCATCCTCACTCACTCGCAACGCGTTGCTCACCGAGAACAGCACCGCACCCACCACCGACACAGCCAGCCCCAGCAGATACACCGGAGTGATGGTCACGTCGGGGAAAAGGGCCATGCCCGAGAGGTCGGCTGAGATGTTCTTGACATTGGATGTGACAGTCACGGTGAGGGGGGAGGTGTACTGGTTGGCGACCATCGATGAGAAGACCAGGAGGGCCCCCAGCAGAAGGGCGAAGCAGAAACACAGCTCGAACTCCACGGAGCGAGGCGTGAGGGTGGTCGTGAAGAAGTGTAATGCGTTGGCGACGTCCCCAGTGACCATGACCCATAGCATAAGGAGGGGCAGGAAGGTGAGGGACTGGTATATCATCAGGCTGTACACCTCCCCCGCCGGGCCGCCCTGCTTTGCCTTTGGACGGGGGTGGGGGATGGCCTCGAGGTCACGCTTCATCTCCACCAGGTATGCCGCCGCAAAGACGTTGGATAGGAGCACGAAGCACACGCCCTCGAACGTCAGATACCTGCATACGTACAAAGAAAGAGTGAGTGACAATGATGGATGACGAGACGAGTGGGTGCGGATGTCTGTGTGCGGTGCGGTATGTCCACACATGTCGTTCCAACTCGCGACGAAGGCCCCAACTACCTGCAAGGCAAGCAGTGGACGGACGGACGCAAACAGACACAAGAGTGACCAACACAGAGAGAGTGGTACAGCGTGCAGTGCAGTGCAGTGGCCAAACACTGCCTGCCCTGCGTGTGCATTGAATTCAGTCAGTACTTGCAGAACGACGGAAATGGTCACGGTGGCTGTGGGTGTCCAGCCAAATCCCAAGTACTCGAACATAAGGGTGAACACCGTCCCCACCCGCAGAAGCGCGCTATTCGTCGGGATGTTCAGATAGGCCAGGCCGGCTAGGCCAGTGATAATGCGCAAAAAGTTGTAGAGCGACAGGGGCAGAACCTGACAGCAGGCAACGCAGCGCAGCGGCAAACACCACACCCAGACAGATGACTACACTGCTCGCCCATTCACTCACTCACTCAGTGTGTAGACGCCCAGCCCACCTGCCATGCCCGCTTATATTCCCATTGGGGGTAGTCGATGAGCTTGAGGGCCTTGAGGCCTTCCAGCACCGCTATGCTCAGCACGTTCTGGCACAGCAGCAGCACGTTGATGAAGCGGAAGTGGAACGTAGTCAAAACCGCCCTGCCAACACGAACAGACAGACAGACAGACGCCCACACTCCCTCACTCCCACACGTCAGCGGCAGGGGCAGCACATCAGTGCACCAGATCAGTCCATCCATCTCCCTCTCACTTGTTGAACAGGGTCATCCCAAGCGACACTCCGAAATAAAGCAGGTTGGCCTGCCATAGGCCACACATGCATATGCCATACTGCATTCATTGTCGATGCAGGTGCGTATAGCGTGTGGCTCACCAAGAACTTTGCCCAGAGGCTGTGTGTGCGCCGTTTGTGGTCATCAGGGACCTTGAGGCAGAACTCCTTCTCCTCATCTTCGTTCTTCTGCGGCGCGGACTCCCTCTCGGGAGCGGCTGTCGAATCGGCGGGTGGGGGGTGCTCGGACGACAGATCGATGTCCTCATATGAGGCGACGCCGGCCTGTTCGCGTCTATCCATTGCTATCCATCTCAACGAACGAACATCTCAAAGCGGTATTTACAATTGGTGATTTAGGGTCGATAATAAACGTTTCAAATGAGGCGAGCTGGGTCGATAATAAACGTTTCAAATGAGGCGAGCTGGTGAATGTACGAGGTGAGGCCCTGTAGCTGCATACTTTGCTGCCCACGCGCCTCGCTTCTTGATGGACTCCTCGTGCCGATGCGCGTTTTCTTGAGTTAACCCCGTGCCCACCCCCCAGCCCACCCCCGCCTCGCTGCGTTCTGTACAGCTGCCGTAGACGCCTAAAGGATGGACTTGTCGCCCCGCGAGCGCCTGCACCGCTTCAAGACACACCCCTCGAGCATTGCAAGTAAGCCAGTGTGAAGCATTGACGCATGCAGGCCTCCTCGTCACGTCACCCTCTTGATGTGCTGTTGTCTGTCCGCCCTGGTCTCACGCAGCCGTCCTGTGCTCGGCGCTGAAGGAGCATGACAAGCATCACCGAGGACTCGTGTCGGCTTCGGCCTTCTCCAGGACACTGCACAACTTGGGGTTGAAATTTGGGAGCGCGGAAGTTGATGGGATCATGGAGGTACGCATTGCATGCAAGAGAGAAATGAATGAGGACGCCGACGTCACTGACGGCTGCCTCCCCACCTGTCTGTCTGTCTGTCTGTCTGTCAGCAATGTGTGGTGACTGAAGACGGGTATGTCCATTACAAGCCGCTGCTCGACGCCGTGAGACCTGAGAAGCCCATGGCGGCCCGCTCGTCTGCGCGGGATGCAATTAGTCCAGTCTATTTAGACGAGGCCGACGTGTTTGACCGCACATCGCCGCCCCTGCAGGGGTGCGCGCCGCCTGACCTCGACATGACACACCCCGCTGTAAGTTAACTAAGTTCACATGTGTCTGGTTGACCCATTTACATATTCGATTCCGCACTCTGGTCTGTCTGTCTGTTTGTCTGTTTGTTTGCAGGCCATTCGATTTCTCGTGGCGGCCAAGTCGCCAGACATCAGGAAGATATTCGCAGTGTGGGATCGGTGAGGGAGGGATAGCATAGCGACACAACACGCGGGGGGGCAGGGCACCTTTCATTTGTGTGTCGTGTGGTGCGGCCTGTGTGTGTGTGTGCTTTTTGTGTCGGTGCAGGGGCGCCATCGATGACGCCACGTTTCGTGCCAAGGTAGAGGAGTTGGGAGTGCCCGTGACGCAGGAGTTTGACCGGCTGCTGACCATTTACGGCCCCAGCCGTGCACTGAGGTACAGCTTGAGTGTGTGTGTGAGCGCGTGAGCGTGAGAGTGAGTGTGTGGATACTTCGTGAGTGCGAGTGGCCGATGAGATGAGCATGAGTGTATTTGTCAGCTACGGCAAGGTCATGGCGGCCCTGCAGATCAATGACGTGACCGAGCGCAAGACGCGCAGCAATGCCGCTGATGTTGTCGGCCAGCCGGTACGCAGCACAGGTGGAGGGACGGGTGAATGGATGGATGGATGGATGGAGGTTTTGACGCCACTTCTTTCTTTCCCTTGTTGTCCTCGGCCAGAGCCCTCCTCGCTACCGCCCTCAGACCTCGTTCAAGGACCCCATAACCTGGCAGAATGACACCTACTTCCAGGTCAGCACACACACACACACACACACACTTACACATGAAGGTTCAAAACACCAATCATCCTGTCTGTCGACTGGCTCGTTGAATGATTCATTCATTTGTTGACTCATCCATCGATCAGAATCTCAAGAGCGGCCGCCGCATCTACAACAAGGCCATGCTGCAGCCCTCTCCCCGCGTCCCCTACGGTGTGAAGGACCAGTCGCCCATACCCTCGGCCGCCGACCACGAGGCCGTCACCAAGCGAGTCGCCGACTTCGTTGACGGCGTCATCAGCGCCATCGTCTTCCGCACCGAGCTGCAGCGGCTGGGCGTGACGGTGACGCCGCCGCTTGAGCAGCTCATCCGGCAGCACGACCTCCACCAGTCGGTCCCCTTCCGCGACTTCATGCGAGTGCTGACCAAACCTGGCGCAGAGATCGAGGGAGGAGAGGCTAGCGCTGCTGGGTTGGAGCCTGGTGAGGGTGCGGGGCCAGGAGGGGCCAAGCTCATGCCTGCATCAGCGCCGACCAAGATAGATCCGTCTCAGATGCCGGCGTGTGGCGGCAAGACCCCCAAGAACGCCTTCGATTCGACTGAGAACATCCTCTCATGGGGCGTCAGGGGCGAGGGCGAGGAGGTGGGCGTCACGGCACCGCGCACGACCAAGGGCGAGGGCTACCGTCCCCCGCCCTTTGCCATCGATCAAGGCCAGCAGCAGGTGGGGGAGGAGGGAGGCTGTGCCACCACTGGCCGCCGGCACGCCCTGCACCACTACCGTCCCCCGCCATTCGCCATCGAAGGCCACGACGGCCTTCCCCAGGCACCAGGCACCTCCTCTCCCCCGCCAGGCAGCGCCGGCAAGGAGTGGACTTCCAGGGCGATGCAAGTGAGAGAGAGGGGCGGAGAGAGGGAGGGAGGGCCTACGTACACACACAGGTGCACACCGGAGGGGACGGGGACGGACTCATGAGGTTTGTTGCCTGTGTGTGTGGTGCATCCATCCATTGCATGTTGATGAAGAACTACGGCGACATAATTGGCTGGACCGCCCAGCCAAGTGAGTATGAGATGGATATGGATGGAACGATGTGTGCGTCAATCAATCGGCGTCTGTCTGTCTGTCTGCCTGCAGCAAGGCCCGACATCGTGTCAGCCCCCACACGGGCCTTGGACGACAAGGCCAAGGCGCCCCGTGGCCAGTACGTGTGGCAGCGCTCGTCTGACATAATCAGTTGGGGAAATGAGGACCCGGGGGTGTTCAGCCGGGGGAGGCGTCGCTTTTTGCCATTGGGGGAGGAGTGCCCCTTCGGCACGGACGCCGACGTAGCGAGGAGGGACGTGCCGCCTGCAGCAGCAGCAGCAGCTTCAGACCTGGAACGGCTAGGGGCCGAGGTGGGCGAGGAGGCGAATGATATAGGGGATGGTCAGGGTGGGGCGGTGGTCGAAAGTGCGTGAGGGGCGGCTAGGGAGAATTCGCGAGATAGACAAGCTCAGCTGGCTGCCGCTGCCTGCCTGCCTGCATGGCATGGATGGGTGGACGAGTGAATGAGAGACACTGATCGATCGATGGGATGAACTTCCAAGGAATATGCGTTGATTGGTTCCGTCGTTCGTTCGTTCGTTCGTTCGTTCGGTTGGCAATAGCACGCAGCCATCCATCCATCCATCCATCGCACGGCATGCAGTCACGTCACCACAACCAACCAGCACCCACACCACCACACTGCCACCACCATCAGGAAAAAAGTTCCTCTTGATTGAATGGTAGACTGCGCTGCCGCTTGCACGTGCCATTCTATGCTATGCTATGCTATGCGATGCTCTGCAATGCTCTGCAAGCCCTTCCCCTCCGGCCTATTCTTCCAACCGACCGCAGCACACGACACGCAGACAGAAAGACGAGACGCACGGGCAGCACACTTCAATTCCTTCCTTTGCTTCACCTTATCCTCGCACAGCACACACACGGACGGACGGACGAGTCAGGGGCATCTGTCAGGCAAGGCAAGCACGGGCAGTCAGCGAGCGACACGAGCATCGATCGCTTTCTTGGACAGGGATGACATGACTGACTGGAGGGAGGAAGGGACCGGGCCGATCGACCGACGTGTTGGTTGAAAAACAAACAGCACCCCACACCACCACATGCCACACGTGCCACACGCCCACACAAACACAAACCCAAACACACACACACGACAATCAATCGTCTTAGGGCCGAGCCGAGAGCAAGCACCACACACAGCCAGCGAGACGGGCACACTCACTCACACGGACGGAGAGGCAAGAGGCAACCTAGGGCCCAGCGATCACGTCCATCCATCCATCCATCCACATGAACCAGACAGAGAGTGAGCGAGCGCGGACCCAATCAACACACAGGCCGACCAACCAACCAAACCAAAGCAAGGCAAGGCGAGGCAAGGCGAGGAAACCAAGGATGAGATGAGACGAGAAAGACGTGATCGGGTGATGGATGACAAGACGGGATGGGGATGGCCATGTGCTGCGGGTGAGTCGATGCGAGCATAGCACGTGTGAGCAAAAATCACTGCGACCGAGTGACGACCCGACTCGTCCCGCCCCGCCCCTGTGCGCACGAAGGAGAGAATGAGGCCGAGAAAGAACCCATGAATGGTGCGGTAGTGCGGTTCCGTGGTGAGAGGGTGCAGCAGAGGGCCGGTGGGGGTGTGTCCGTGTGTGGGTGACATGACAGACCATCCATCCATCCATCCAGCCAGCCAGCCGGACACGCATGCAGTGAGAGAAGAGGGGCAGTGTAGTGTGTCTTTTGAGTAATTACATCTTGGGCACCCCGCACCCCTCCCCACACCACAGACACACACACACACACCTTTTCTTTCATCCCTTCCGTAAGTCGATCGATCAATTACAGCACTGCACCTGCACCACGGGAGGGGAGGGAGGAATGCAACCGACCAAGAAACAAAGACAGAAAACTGCACATCACATCAATCAGATCCATGTCAGTCAGTCATGTCGCCGCCACCGTTCACACACACTTCAACCACCAGCAACATACAAACAACTGACCTTCCGTACCTTGCTTATAACCTTGATAAAGGTCTGTCTGTGTCGTGTGGTGGGGGGCATGGCATGAGCCAAGACAGAGATGGGCCTTACTGTAGTGCGGTGTGGGTGTGGTGTGGTGTGGGGTGCGACGTCACGTACGTCAATTGACTGGCAAAGCCTGGCTGATCCATCCAACCCTCCCTCCCTCCCCCGTGTGCCATTCATGGTATCAATCCCTACCCCCCATGTGTGTGTGTGTGTGGCAAAACTGCAGGAAGATGCGTGGATGGATGGATGTATGGATGGATGGACACACATGCTTGCGGGCATTGCATTGATCACGCAACCGTACCGTGTGTGTGTATGTGTGGTGATGGTGTGTCATGCATGGGTGACATGGAACACTTCGTTACTTACGTACCTGCCGTACCGTACCTGTCCTCCCCTCCCTCCTTACCTACCACGCCACGCCACGCACACTCGGGTGTAGTGTTACAAAAAGTTGACTGTCGATCGAAACGGACGGTGGTGTGAACGCCACGCACGCTGCTTCATTCATGTCAGCCACACACAGGCAAGTAGACCGCGCCCCCACAGTACAGCAAGACAAGACAGCAGCCAGTCACCACACCAGACCAACCTGAACGCAAAAATCCCCTGCCTTGAGGTAGGACGACCTCGCGTAGCTCCTTGCCTGCCCTGCCTGCGTACGTCCACGGGGGGATGGTATGGTGCAGGGAGAGGGAGAGAGAGAGAGATGGGTGGGTAGTGGGGAAATACACTTTTGTGCATCGTAGGTCAGACAGAGGGGCGGAGACGCGCAGAGCAAGCCGCGCAGACAGACAGACAGACAGACAAGTAGCCAGGAGAAGGAGGACAGACAGGCTGACAAAGTAGGCAGCTTTGGCTCACAGGAAGAGAGAGACAACGGACAGGGGTGAGAGAGGGAGAGAGGGACACAGAGAGGGAGTACCTGCCTGACAAACCAACACATTCGATTCGGTTCAGCAAACAAACAGAAAAGATCGAGCAAGACAAGACCCCACCGCGCAAACGCACCACCCCCACTTATCATCCATCTGTGGCAATCAATGGCCATGCATAGCATGCAGCTGCCCACTTGTCTGCCCATCCATCCATCCATCCATCCACTCGCGGATTGAATTACCCAAATACGCACGTTTTGAATTACAGTGGTTCGCCCGCTCGAGTGGGTGAGTGAGTGGTGGTGGGGTCATTGTCACATCACATCTATCACACGTAGGCCAGGCCTGACTCGGTGCCATCCATCCATCCATTCTTGTACGACGGTGTACCTGCCTGTCTGTCTGTTCTTCTGTCGGCTGTCAAGCGATCGATCCACCCATCCCATGCAGATGATCATGTCCACGGACACAGACACAGACACGGACACGGACACAAAGCTGCGTGCATCACTGCACTGCATTCGCTGGCCAGTAAGTGAGGGGGTGGGTGGTTGAAACACGCACGCGCAGCGCACAAGACAGTGGCTGCCTCGCTGTCGTGTTGTTTGTGCTGGTGGTGGTTGGGGTCTCTTCTCTGTCTACCTGTCTACCTGTCTGTCTACCTGTGCGTCTGGTGAGAGTCGCGACTGGCTGAGCTCCGACGTCTGACTGACTGATGGGAACGGGCAGGCAGGCAGGCAGGCAGGCAGGCAGGAAGAGCCAGACCGACCGACTAAGCGCCTATCTTGATAATGCCACTAGGTGGGGTTGGGTGACTTGACTGAATGACTGACTAGGCTTTCTCCCTCTGTCCCCTTCCTCCCTGCATCCCTTGCTTGTCTTCCCCTCCTTGGCTCTTCTTTCTTCGCTTTGGGCAGTGACTGACTCGCCGCCGGCCGAAAGAAGAAGGCTTCCACAAACGGACATACACATGGACACGGACACGGACACAGACACGGATGCATTGATTGCATTGATTGCATGTGTGCTTCCATCAAGACAAAGAGAGAGACGCTTGTTGGCCATCCATCCATCCATCAGTATCATGCGCATTGACGAATAAACGATTCGACGGTAAAGTAGGCACGCACACACCCACGCAATGCAAGGAAAGGAGAGGAAAAGTGAGCAAGAGCGAGCAAGTGACACCAACCACCCAAAGCCAGCCCAGCCACTGGGCAAGTAGTTAGTAGGGAGTGACCGGAGCTTTTGTACGAAGCTCTCTCTCCCTCTCTACCTCCCTCCCTCCCTCTCCGTCACATTCAGCCACCCACCCACATTGTCTCCCCTCTCTCCAGCCCCCCTCCTCTTGGTAGCAGCATCGCGCGTAGCAGATAACTAGGTGACACGAATGGAATGAACGGAGAGCCAGTGGGTGAGTGAGTCAGTCGACATTGCATGCACACCTGAAGAGAGAAGAGTACGGTAGGAAGGCAGGGAGCAGAAAAGGCAATGTCTGATGGGAAAATTTCGCGCGCCGGTGTCTTGTCTGTCAGACTAGATGCGTCGGTTAGAAATGAAATCCATGGGCCACATCGATGATGGTCGAGGACATAGTGGGCCGGCCACACACAGCATGAATGAAGGATGAATGAAACATGAAAGCAAAAATAGCAACAAACAGCGACACACAAAACGTCACGTGACAGAGACAAAGAAAGCAATTGGCATTGGCTACATAATACGACTTACCCGCGCCCGCCCGCCCGCCCGCCCACCCC